TCCCAGTCTGCTGATGTTCTCTATGCTCTCATTTTATTTCTATACATACACACACATATACATATGTATATATGTATGTATATAATCTAAGCCCTTCAGGCTTATCGTTGACAATAACTGCTTTGTTGTGGTTTAGTTTTGTTTTGCTTTTAAATCAGGGAATACTGAAACACTTGGCAGCACCGTCAGAGATAAAAAAGGTCGCTCCAGGGTACCCCAGGGAAAGTATGCACGTTCATTGCTGGTCTCACCAAGCAAGCTGGGCATGAAAACCAAGAAGCCTGAAGCTGTCACTGTTCATGTGGTTACACACGGTCACACATGCATATTTATGTTAAAATTTGTATTTATTCACTTTACAAATATAACCAGTAATACTCAGATAATGTAAGGAATATGTAAGCAATACTTACTTACACTCCCCACTTGAGAATCTCCAAAAGCTTTACTAACGTAAATCAGAAAGAAGGGTAGCTGGAAACAAGGATGTGAAAATTATATAAAGTATCCAAACCACACTATAGAGGTTTGTATAGTATACCTCTACTAAGAAATTTGCTGGTAACACATCAGATATAACTGTCCTATTCTTGATCTCACATAGGGAAGGAAAATCCACTGGAAAAAACAGTTAATATTTGCCTGCATTACCTTCAACAATTTTTTGCTTTCAAAGAGGGCCATTATGTTTGCTTTCTTTTTTAATCTGATGGACTGGTTTAGGAAAAGGAGAATGAACAATTGGAAAAAAGTGGAAGCCCAAAGCATAATATAAGTTTAGATTATGTTGCTTCACTAGTATTTCCTTAGAATCACAAACCAATATGCAAAATCTTTTGGTAATGACATAACACAATTTCCACGCAGGCTAAAAACACAGGAAAACATAAATATACATTTTTGCTTTCTGACAATGCATTAAAAAAGCCATTTTTTCCCCCCCCCTTTTTTTTTTTTTTTTTTTCCAATCATCACTTTGTTATTTTGGACTTCAAAGGTCTTTTAAGAATAGGTATACTTTCTCACAGGAACTTTTGCAAGTATTTGAGAGAGAAACATTACAAATACAAACATGCCTTAAGGATTTTATTGTAAATCACTTACTTTCATCTATCATACTTATCTGGTTGGTTGTTAAGAATCATACTACTTATTACCCATTACGGAATGTTGTAGGACAAAAAATTCCGAATATTCTAAAGGTATGTGAGCATCTTAAACCCAAACAAATGTCAGCCCTTAAACGAAGTATGAGTAGTGAACAAAGTATTTTTGTACTTCTATGTTTGCATTTTTATCTTTACAACAAATATTAAGCACTGTCCTGGTTCAACCCCAGCCAGCAACTAAACACCACAGAGCCAGTCGCTCACTTCCCACCAGTAGGATGGGAGAGAGGATCATGAGGGTAAAAGCGAGAGAACTCGTGGGCTGAGGTAAAGACAGTTCAATAAGTAAGGCAAAAACTGCGCACTCAAGCAAAGCCAAACAAGGCATTCATCCACCATCTCCCAAGGGCAGGCAAGTGCTTATCCATCTCCAGGACAACAGGGCTCTAGCAGACATAACGGTGACTTGGGAAGACAAATGCCGGCCCTCCAAATGTCCTCCTTCCTCCTTCTTCCCCCAGTTTTATTTGCTAAGCATGACATCATATGGTCTGTAATATCCCCTTAGTCAGTTGGAGTCAGGAGTCCTGGCTGTGCCCTCCCCCAGTTTCTTTGTACCCCCGGTGTCCTCACTAGTGGGGCAGCACAGAAGCAGAAAAGGCCTTGACAGGATGCAAGTGCTGCTCAGCTAACAAAACCCTCTCTGTATTATCAAACCGTTTTCAGCACAAATCTAAAACATACCACCACATCAGCCACTGTGAAGAAAATTAACCCTACCCCAGCCCAAACCAGAACAGGTGCCAGTTAATTTGGATTCCAATTGAGAGCAACTAGTCTATACCTTGACGACATTCTACAGACTTCAAGAGTCTTCTAGCCTAACAGTGACGTAAACAATGTTGGAAATTTAGGTCAAAGATTCAAAGAGTATTTTTTTCTTTCAGAATAACCCTGAGGCCTTTTACTAACATTGTTTCAAAGTAAAATAAATATTTACTGTTTCTGATACTCTGCCTCAAGCCAACTGATGCAAGGAGAAAAGAGTGTAGTTTAGTAGCTTGTTACATATCTTAAGTGTTATAATAATACTTGCATGCTTTGCAGACTGTGTACCATGCAGTTTCCTTTTCCATGTGCTTTCATTTGTAATAAAATATTTATATGCAAAAGAAAAAGAAACTAAACTCAAGGTTGTTCTTGGATATATTGATTCCTCATAAACTTCAGTAAAATAAAATGTAGACTTATTGCCAGGATAATTTAGTTCTTCTTTCCTTGTATAAGCTAGCTTGGACTGTTTCCAATTTAAAAACCAAACCTTTTTTCAGAGTTTGGTAACTATCACTGAGGGTTTATTCAGTACACTGATATTCAGTCTTGAATAAAAACATGAAATGTTTATCTAAGATCATGAGTGCATTTGTCATAATTTGTATCTCAAAGAAAGTCATGGTCACTGACAATTACAGTTTTGTCACACTACCTTTTCTTAACACAAACATCTTTGGTTATTAGATCACAAAAATTTCAAAAGGATTAAATGACTGACTTTGAACAGCATTGTGTGCCATCTCTGGGTTTAGCTCAGCCTGTATGTAAACAGGCTTAGCATTGTCATTGAGAATTACACCCATTTATGCCAGGGATTAACATGCCAGAGTCTCTTCCTCTGAAATCACAGCTCCATTCTAAAGATGCAGCTTCTCGCTGCTGTTATTTTCTTTTCAAGTAAATGCACAGTTAACTACAGGCTGCACTGGTAGGTTGCAGGGATGGAGATTAAACCTGAAATGAGCACAGAAGATTTAACTCTGCTCCACTTCAGAGTAAAAACTGTTTCTCTGAGGGATTGTCACCCACATGCAAGTGTTGGAGTGCAAACCTCCTCCTTGAAATGCCTCACACTGCCTTTTCACTTCTCCACCCACCACTCGTTCTCATACTCTCACTGTTGAGTGTAATCAATGTCACTGGAAGATAAGCTGCCCAATTCCTCAGAACGACATCTGACTACTGTGCTTAATAGGGAATGTAGCAAACAGTCATTAAAAATGGCAAAGCTTTTCCTAGTGTAGAATAAAAGACGTGTGGTAAGTTCAGATTCTCTAACCCCATCTGCTAAATCCTACACTACACAACAACCCTTTTATTCAAGTTCAAGGATGCAACTCCTCCATTTAAAGAGCACTTGTTACCTCAGAGGAAATGGAGGCTAAAGTGTGCCTGACACTAAAGAAAGAAAAAATTAATGTTGGCTCTGCAATGAAACCCTCCAAAACAGCCAGTCTCACCCAAGCATAATAAATCAATTGTGTGCTCTTTTAGCAAACCAATTACTTTTATTCTTTGGCTTTTAGCTTGTCCACGTGCCAGTTTACAGTCCTATGTGACAGGGAAGTGTGGTAAGACTGATGTCTCTCTTCCTTTCTCAGGCACTGTGCTGAATTTGTCATTCTATATAAAATACTAACTGCTTAGCATTGCTACAGGACTACATGTCATACCCATTGGTATGTTCTCTTTTTTTCCTACCTTTTTCCCTTCTATCCTTTCTTAATTCAGTAACTGTGTCTATTAGACCCATTCTGTATTCAGGCTTGTTCTCCAGTGCTACTGCTGAGCAATGTTAGGGTCTTAAAAAAGGTAATGAGAAAGGTTTTAGGATTGTTGTTTGGTTTTGATTTTTTTTGGTGGATTGTGTTTGTTTGGTTTTTTTTAACTGGAGGTATTTTAAAATCTCTAACAGTAAATATGCGAATTTTCCCCTTCACACATATAAAAATAAAAATGGAAAAATCTAATACAACTCATTTTTGGTAACTCACCAATCTTTTAGCCTAACGAACGTTGTGGTTCCTTGTGTTTTTAGAGGGCACGTTGAATACATTTATCAGTGTAGGTTTGTTGCCTGCCAATTTGATTAATTTACCTTGGTTTTTGTACAATGTAAAGGTATAAACTAGACCTTCTAAATACTAAAATGTAACATTATACGTCATTCTCACATTGTCTATCATTCATTTCCCTAACCTGTCCTCATATGAAAATTCCTAGACACATGAAAAAATGCCACTATCTATTTTTACTGCATTTTTTTTCCTAGCTGAACAGGACACACTATAGAAAAGACTATTCACTGGATTTAATGCAGTAGCTATAGAACATTCTATTTTTACACCATACTTACAAATTTTAACATTTTGGTTGTTTTTATAACTAGCAGCATACACTAAGTGTGTTTTTTTAATGAACTTAAAATTTCATTTAGTATCAATACACTAGGAAGAAATAATCTAGGAATGCCTAGATTATTCTTTAAATTAATTATTTATTAAATTGTATATCTCATCCATGGGTTTTAGCTATTATTAAGGTAATTCACTTGCTTTGTTAATCTTTCATGTTGCCTTCAAAATTGTAGTAACCCAATCAATAAAACATCCTCTGAAAATGAGACTATCTCATTGCTAAATTCTTTTTCACAATTGACAAGATATCTTTGATTAACATTACATATACAAAGCTTCAGAACATGGTTATCAGCTTTAATATTCTTGACCTACATTATACCTCAAATAAGCTAAATTTTCAGCCCCTTGGTAAGTGCTCCTCTGCAATTGTATTTTAAAATAATAAAACACATTCCATCTCTAAAATTATAAAACATATTCCATCTCTAAATTGTTGTAATCCCAGATAAAGCCTATCCTGCTATTTTCCTTTAAGTTTTCTTTCTAGTTTATACAAATTCGTTTTAAGTTCTGTTGAACAGATGCAAGTATAACAGCAACTGATACGGGGAGGCACTTCAATGGGATAATCTGCAGATATGATTGTGATTTAAATGGGACAACATCAGAACATACGGAGTAAATTTAATTGTTCTACCTTGATTGAACACAATCAGGATGCAGACACTTGTTATTCTTTTGTATGTGCTTCCCAGGAGGTTAGGAATGTTGCTTCTGTCACTATGGGGTTCTACTTGAGAGAAGGTAAAAACATTTTTCCCTAAGGAGAAAGCAGAAGCAGGTGTATCATACACTTGCCTGCACTGTTGCAAACGTGTGCATAGCACAAACTACAACAAATGAAACGTTCCATCATTGTAATGAATTGAAATACATTGTACACATATGGATGAAAGATAAAACCTGTAATATTCCACCAAGCTGTGAAAATTCAGTACCACTTGGGAGAATAAAAACTTTGAAGATACATCTTTCTATCTCCAATCCTAACATCCAGTTTGTTTACCCAGATTTCACCCTATTTCTGTGACAGATAGGCCCCTTTTTCTTCTTGCCTCCACCATTTCATCCCACTCATTTCTAGGCCTAGTGTCCTCACCCTGCCACACTGCCTCCTGTTACACATCTCCTCCATATATGGTGCCCATGGTTTTCTGTTCCTCAGTTCCCTGTTCAGTTCTGCATCTCGTTCTTTCTGGTGAGTCTATCCAAGCTTCCTTCTTACCCTAGTACCCAGAGGAAACACCCTTCTCTTGTCTGCCTCTGACCTGCATCTTCATTTTCCTCCCTTCCTACAACTACGGCTCTTGCTTTCAAATCAGATAAATTCTCCTTTTTTACTTGCTTGGTACTAGCAAAGGGTGAAGGATGATCACCCCAGAGTCCAATCCTTGTTCCAAACATGGAAAGAAGTCTACACATACTGAAAGGCAAAGTGACCTGTATTATTAACAACAGCAACGTTTAATATTTTTATAATATGTATAAAGGGTTTATTTCCAAGGTTGTTCAACCATCTCCCATGAAGACACTCAATGGAGAAGGAATAGTTTATATATGAATTGTTATCACTGACAGCATACTCATGTTCAAGGCTGGGTTGGATAGGTCTTTGACCAACCTGGTTTAGTGGAAGGTGTCCGTGCCTGCAGCAGGGTGGTTGGAACTACAGGATCTTCAAGGTTCCTTACAACCCAAACTGTTCTACAATCCTGATATTTGACTTAAAATAACTAAAAAAATGCACCCAACACCACTGTATATAATTTATCATCTTTATAATTCATTGCATTAACCCAACAACAAAAAGCAGACAGAAATAAAACTCTCTTGCTTCAATCCTAGCAATAACTCAGCCAGCAAACTTTACTGCAAATGTTTGTGTATGTAACTCCTGTGAAAACTGCTTAGATGTCCACTATGCACAGGAAAAGGGAAATAAGCCATATGTCAACAGGTCAAAGAGCACACCAGAGCACTGAATTAAGTTCACACCATAAATGAAAATGAAGTAGCAAAACTTACGTTAAGTGATTTCCACTGGTGTTTAATACAAATTTTGGTGGTGTTAGTTATAAATTTTTAGTAATTATTAAACAGCAGAATCAGGAGATTAGCTGAGCAGTTTCCAAGACAACAAACTTTTCCCTAGTGTTGCTAGAGTTTCTGCTGTCTCCTCATCAGACCTGCATTTTGGTTGTCCTTCGGAGTCTATGGATTTGTAGATATGGCACAAGCACTTGCCTTGGTTTTGCTGGGAAAAAACCCAACATTTTTTTATATGAGCTAATTGTTGTTGACTAGATACTTCAAAGTTAGTGTAGGAAAAAAGGTTGGTCGCTTTCTTTACTTTATAGCTGTCTTGCACTTGTTTCAAAACTAAGAAAGGTCTAGACCGATAAGTATCCTTTTCAAGTGGCCATGCACATAAATGTAATACAATACCAGTGGAGACGGGCAAAAAGTACAAACTACTGAGAAAGCAAGCCAAAGCCAATGAAGCCAAAGCCCAATTCTAACAAGATTACCTTTCTCTAATTGCCATTAGGAAGTCATGCTGAACAAAAAAAAAAACTAAAGAAAATTTGCAATTATAAATTGAAATGTTAAGTATTTATAGAATGTGTACTTCTATAAGTTAATTTCAGTACATATCTGAGTAAAGAAATAACTCCAGATGTTAAAAGTGAAACTTAAATCCTTTTTCTAGACTGGGCACACTTTGCTTGCAATAAACTAATTTCTTTTTTCCTCCAGAAATTAACAATAAGACATTTTAAACTGCATTTCCTATATAGTTTTCTGCACATTTTCTTTCTTTTGACAATACTGTAATATTAGTTTTACCAACTAATAATTTGAAAGTACTTAAAAAATATGTCCTTGATTAAGCTTTTTGAAAAGTGAAATGTCAGGATGCCAAATTACTGAAAGTCGTACTCAGATTCAGAAGTTCTTATTGGGAATGATCTTTTTCCATTTCCACTCCCCTTCTGTGAATCTTACAACTGTTCAGACAGCGGATATTCTACACTTATAAATAGTAGCTGATCTTATTACTTCTAAAGCAGGCACCATTACTCTCAAAGAGACAGCCAATACTCATGATGCAAATTGGGGAAGAGAAACAATCTCGCTTAAGGCCATTCAAAACTCAGGTTTTGGTTTCTTCTGATGTCACATTTTTGTTAAACTAACAACATAGCATATTAAAGCCTTGCCAGAATCAACATATCCTTGTGAGTGCCAAAGCAAATATTACTTTAGCCTCTACACATGGAAAATCTACGTCACATACATGAGTCAGACTGCATGATGCTGAAGAGCTTATCATCCCCCCCCCCCCCCCCCCCCCCCCCCCCGGAAAATTCTACGAGTGAAAATGATTTGTACTATACTAAGAGCTCTGTATATTCAGAAGTCACAACTATTAAACAGGGTAGCAACATAAATAAAATATAAGCAGATATTTATTCGTATTTCCTATGAAGATACTACAGTCTTTTAAGACTTAGGGTTTAAGCTGTGTTTTAACCTTTGATTTATACCACAAGAGTTTTATTGCTGGTTACAACAATGCCATTGCTAACCAAAGCTTCCTGAGTCTCTTAATTCATAAAACAGTGTCTTACGGGAGTTTAGAATACACCAAAGATGCAGGATCAGATCCTACCTTCCAACTCCCTTTCTTGTACCTTATTCTTGAAACAGATCTGGCTTTATGGAAATTAAGCAGGTCTCTCATCTTCGTTAAAGACGATGAAGCTACTTGGTATCCACTTTGGATAATGGTTTTTTCTACAAGACAATCAGTTCTACTTAGCTTAGCAGCTAACAACTTGCAAAGGAAAAAAAAAAATCAACAGTTGTCAGCTGTGACATGTTTACCCTCCAGACTAAAACAAAAGCAAGAAAAGACTTTGAGAGTGTCACTGTATTAATGGTACTCAAAGCTGCATGTTATCCATACCCTTCTTGAAATAAGAGATTTATTTTATTCATTCACCTGTTTCTTGTCTCCTCTCCTCCTTGTGGCTAAGTGATTTAAAATTACATTTAAATAGCAGAAGTGGCATCTTTAACTACTAGCTCAACAGCCTCAGTATCACATTCTGCATTTGAAAACAGTGTTTGCATTTTGTTTTTCTTCTTAAAAGCATTTGAAGTACTAGTGTAGTCCTGTCCTTTAGTCTATCTCCACCTGGTCAATGCAAAGAAAACACTGTGTTTTCTTTCTAATATTCAATCCCTAAGAAAGCAACTTCTATCTGTAAACAACAAAAATATCTCAGCTGCCAGGTAGATTACCATTTTAGTGTGATTACATTATCCCATAACAATAATAATAAAATGTACTCTGGACTACTGTTTTCGCTCCTCCCTCTAGCAAATCTAACATATCATAACAACGTTTGTATTTATCCAGACAAATATTAATAATGTTTTTCAGCACTGTTTTGGCATTCTGGTAATTCTTTTCTACATGAAACATGTTCAGCTTACAACCTACGCACTTTGAGTAGAATATATGTGTCACTAAGGTGTTACAGAAAGTTGAATTTGGAATGTTCCTCATGAGCATGTAGATGAAAAGTGGACACTTCAGCAGCATAAGTCAGTCACAGAGAAGGACACCAATCACTGACTAGTCTGATACGTGTGCGTGTCATATGCAGTTAGTGTGGAGTGATAACTAACACGCAGATCAGAAAGAGATTTTGTCTTCATTATTTATGCACCAAGAAATTTCCCCCCAAAGAGGAAATACAGTTGCAAGACACATAGTGGTTAAAAAACACATGACTTAGAAACTGACACAGTGCAGCCTGTAGTGACAGTGAGAAGAGATTCTCTAAATCTCTGAAACAATCATGCTTCAGCCTAAAACTTCTTACATATTGTGAATTTCAACAAGAATGAGATATATACTTACTGACTATTCCTATTCAAGGAAGCAGAATAGCACATATAAAGCAGAAGTGAGAAATGGCCATCCCCCCACCACCTCGTTCCCCAGATCTTTCTCACATATATTTATTTACAAAGAAAAGAAAGTCAGGGAAAAGGTTTTCGTTTTCAGTTCAATATATTTATTCTTTTCAGTGGCTAACACAACGTTTGCTGGAAATATACGTACTCCATTTTGCTTCAGTTTCTGGAGTTCATTTCTGTATTACATTTCTAGAGTGCAATTATTTATAAGGATGCCTTTTGGTGGTTTCTTCAGAATTATGCAGAGACAGCAACGGTTTCTGGAACTTGCTTTGTATCCAAACTCGCTGCATTTTCACTTTTTTCTTCCTGTTTACTTGTAACCGCCGATCAACTAAATTCTGTACTTCAGTTAATCCAGCCAAGTTGAACATGTTCCATACCTCATCTATTTTTTCATAAGAAGAATTATTGTAATTAAAAAAAAAAAAAAGGTCAATTGTAGAATGTAGCAATTAACAACCTTCAGTTCAACCAAAGATGGAACTAAATCTGTTTTGCAATTTGAAAGATCAAGGACACTGTCTCTATGAAGTCTTTTATTAGAAATTCATTCTCACAGCTCTTGATTTATATTGCAGTAAAAATTCTTATATTGAGGCCCAAACCACACTGGTTATTACTCATGGTATCCGTAGATACCCTTTCTTCAGAAGGTTCAATATGCCAGGGTTTAGTAAACAAATGCATGCCATTTGGTTACTGTTCACCTGTTATCCAGAAAAAGTTATTGCACCTGCAAATGACAACCCAGACTTTTATGCCTTAAATATATACATGTGTATATATAGATATATATACATATATATACATATATATGTGTATATATATACACACACACACACATATATATATATATATGTGTATATATATACACACACACATATATATATGTAATTAGCTCCTTCTTGTCAGTCATCACTGGAAAACCTTAAGGTTCTTTGTTCTTGAGGAAACATGAAACAAGACATTTAAAACCTGAGAAGGCTCTTTAAATTCAAGTGATTTTCTATATATATCCCAGATCTTTCTTCTCACTTCTAAAATTACTAAGGCTGGGATAAATCCTGATCCATCTCTATGGCTTACAGTGTAGGATGCAGAGGGTAAAAAGAAGAAGAAAAAAAAAGTATTGTGATGCCCACTTTCACAATTTCACAATATACCAGGCTAAGCTGTCTGCCAGCTGAACCAAGTGAGTGGACAGGCAAAGAGCAATAATATCCATAAGCAGGAACTGAAGTTTAGCTCCTGCATAAAGAGCAGCCTCACAGTTCAGATTCGCCAATATGGCAAAACAAAACATCAGAGCACTGCTACAAACTCTCTTTCCAAGCATGTTTATCTTGATTTTAAGAGAGAAATCATGTACGTATTTAAATAACAAAATTTAAGCATACCATTAGACACAGGAGGCTCAGATAAAGAGAAATTTCCAGTGATGTCTTTAAGCAATCTTGCAGGACCCCAAACACAACAAGCGTACACATAAAGGAAATTATTTTCTTACAAAAGTTAGCTTCAGTCTTTTTAAAAGCAGAGAATTAAAAAAAGCCAATAAAACCTTTCTTAAATTTTTGTTTAAAGATAAGCTTTTATAATTCAATCTTGAGAGAAATTTAACGCTTTCTATGAAAGTGTAACTTTCCATACCTTTGGTAAAGAAATATACTCTGGTTCCATCTCCTCGTACATAAAAATTTTCTGACAAGCAATGACCTAAGAAATTGGGACAGCAATGAAAGAGGACATGTCACTTTTTTTTTTTTCCCAAAAAGAGTTAAAATAAACAATGAACTACAAAGCCATTCAGGAATTACCTTTTTTAAACCGAAGTTGAGCTGTATCGTATCTTCCATAGTCTCGAAATAACAACATTCCTCCAGGTTTCAGTAGCTTAGCCAACCTATTTACAACCCCTTGCATCCTTAGAAAATAGATGGGATACTGGTGACATTTGCAAAAATAAGCAACCAAGTGTGCTGCCACAGACAGAAAAGGTAGCACCACCTAAGAATAAGAGACACTTCAAGATGGGTAGTTGTGCCCAGAATTACAGACTTGGCCAATATAAACTTTTGTGCACAAAGGAAAAAATGTACATGCACAAAAAGTGAAAGTGCTTTGAGGAATCTCATCTAGCAGAACTAGAAGATATTAATTATACAGCTTGAAGAAAGTTTAATACCTTCCAATTCTGTAACTAAATCTTAGAGGTGCCTTCTAGCAGAACGAAAGTGTGTTAAAAATTTACTACAAGAGTAGCACTTATCAAAAACTAAGCACAACAGCCTGAAGAGAAATCACAAAGTAACAATTTTCTGAACATAACTGTGTCCCTCTCACATACACTTTCCATCTTTCCCAAGTATGTAAGTTCTGCATCACAGTTCCCTTTGTTTTCTTTTTCATTTCTCACTTTCAAAGTTTCCAGAAAAAATGTATACTGAGCAAGGTGAATCTGGATCACATTTTCCTTTATGCAGTTATTTTAATTCTACAAGATGGCAGTAATAGAGTAACAAAACTTTGGAACGTGGGTCTCACAACTCAGATAATTACACGGAAATCTTTATGTGTGTATACACACACATGTGCACACAAAGGCTCCCATGTGCACACAAAGGCTCCCATGTCAGCCCTGAGGAGAAAAAAACCAACCAACAAACTACAAAAAACATCAAACGCATTCTTAAAAGACTCATAGGAAAAGACATACAGAAATTCTGACAGAACACCTGAACACTGCTTCTACAGGCAAAGTGATTGACTGAATGAAACACTTATTTTCCAATTTCTTCCTGGCAGCATCATGGCAGTCACAGAGGTCTAAAGTCTACTGCTTGAATTGTTTCTGAAATCTGGACCCTGGCTTTGCTTGACATGTGCTCATCTCTGAACAAACAGGAAGGAGCAGTATCATATATGGGAAAGGCTTTCTGTAAAGCTAATCATTAGTAACTTAGGCAGAGAAACAATTCTCAGACTTAGGCAAATACTGTTCTGTTTGCCAAGCCCATTTTAATGACATTCTTAGTGTAAATGTATTATCACACAAACAGCATGTATTTCCCTTCATATAATCCAGTTAAAGGAAAAGTCAAGCAGTTCAACTTATGCCCTCTTTTACGTTTTTCACATTAAAAAAGGGCATTTTCACAATCAGCCAGCCTTAACAGTCATCAAATTTGGTGCATTAGACATTGAGAGGCATTAGCAAAGGCTAACAGTACCCAACATAACAGTATACATGAAAATTAGATCAAATTTTCTTAATCCAAAGAAGTTAAAAAATTTTGGATGTACTTTGGTTTAAAAGGCCTGCCTGTAAGCATTTGTATGTGGCTAAATCAGCAACCTAAGTCTATATCAACATATTGTGAGCTCTTAAGTCATGAATGGTTGGTTTTGATCACTAAAAATAACTTCCTTCTAGAAGACTAGTAAGGTTTTTAATTTGCAGGGTTTTTGAATCCCTCACTTCTAATAGGGTTGGTTTTCAGTTACAATATACTCCTTGTATTTTGATGGAGTCTGGAGACTCACTAATGAATTAGCCTGACCGGCTTTTCTCTTGAAGAAAATGGAAAACAGCATTTAAAATACCTTGTTTTACACATACTGTAGCTTACTGAGTAATAAATTAAAGATTCATCATCTTCTTTTGCTATTCTTGAAAACCTCCAGTGAAAAGAGAGATTTAACCCATTTGCTTTGCCCTTTAGTCTTCATTTACCTGTCAGGATGAATAGTAGAGAGCACAAAGACAAGGAGAATGACATCCAGGATCTCATCTGGAAAAGGATAGGGTAAAGCATCATCACACACATCATGAACAAAGGCAGAACACCAGGCTGAATTGTAGGACGAATGTGACTGTCAGGAAAAAGATGAAAAGGGGCACAGAGAGAACAGTAGTAGTTAATACGTTTACTGTGACTCAAGAAACTTTTTTTCTTCAATTATTCCACATTGTAAAACATCTCATATAAAAGCCTATTCTGTCCAGTATCTTACTCAAGCTGAGAAGCAAGCTCACTGATGGTATTCATTCCTCTCTGCATACAGTAAGACTTTGTTCTTTGGAATATTGAAAACTTCAGTTAAAAGTTGTCAAAGCCATCACATTCTTTTTCATGAAGACGGCTTCCTGGCAGCCTCCTGAATTACAGGCTTATAAGGTACTCTAAAGCGAGCCTATGAATTACCTTTACCAGCTCCACTGCTCCTGAAGCAAAATCACAACAGTATAGAAAGGTTCCAGGTGTATTGCTAGGAAAACAAAACCAACATCAGTTAAAAAATTATTATTGTAAAAGATGAAAGTCTACATCAGTGTTCATGGAACTACAGAGGGCCCTTTGGGGTTCTCCACAGGTTTGATCGAGCATGCCTTATTGATGTCTAGCACACGGAAAGCCACAGAGGTTGTAATGAACCAACAGGGCAGACAAATTTGTAAGAATACCAACAGGCAGTTAGTATAAAAAGAATTAGAGCCTTGTCAGGGAGGAAGCAAAAAGGAAAAGAAAGAAGGTCACAGAGGGCTGTCAGGACTGATGACAATGTCCTGGTGTTGTAATGCAAAAATGCACGTTAATAGGTCACGTTTTCTTACAGAAGCGCTGCATTAAGTCTCTATCATCAGCCCATGCACGCAGTTTAATTAGCAGTATAATTTGGGCAGGGGTGGAGTATTGCAAAAATCATCCAGTTCTGTAGGTGTTTGGGTTTCCATGTGTCACCTCGCTGTGCTTTTGATTAGATTAAGTAGTTTTGGTTGTTTCCCTCCATTATCCCTTTTGTTTTGTAAGCCAGGATGAATAAGAATTTCCTGTAGCACTGTTTTTTCTTCCCTTCCCATCTAAGACTAAGCCAGCTGCAAATTTCCTTGTACCATTCATCAGATAATAGTAATTCTAGGAAGAGGGTTTTTTCGCCTCTGAAAAATTCACTTAATATAAACTGAACAAGCCACTCAAAACCCACTGAGGGATGACCTCATGATCAACTCATGATCAATTAATTTATTTTAAAAACATATTTGAGATTTTGGACGGATGGCTTCTTTAGAAGGGAATCAAACTCTGCCAGTGCCTGTAAGGTCTCACAGCTGAGTTAGACTTCTCCAAGGGCTCAACAGGAGAATGATTCTGGAACAAAATATACTCCATGCTCACTGCAGAGCAACACTTTATCAGCTCTGTGCCCATCATGAGAATTGATGATTTTAGCTATTTATTAAAGATAAGGAGAAGCAGCCAGGCTCTGAACCCAGCCAGTCCCTTGGGAAAGGTTACACTAATTTCCTAGTTTACATTTTAGAATGTTACTACTTTTTTTTTTTTGAAGAGCAGAATCGGAGCTATGTAGAAAGTCAACCTAAAACAAACACACAGATTGATCTGGATGGTGTTCTCCTGACACATTGCATTAAAAAGCCATAACCTAAATTTTAAGGGAGACAGGAGAAGGCAGATTTAAAAGTTATATTACAAACCTAAATGAAAAATTTTTTTGTAGCCAGGGTACACTCATGCTTGACATTGGCTTCTTTTTATACGCACATAAAAGGTAATTTCTGTATTATTAAATTCAGAGTAAAAGCAAGTGTTCTATAAAGCCAGGCCTACTAAAAGGTAGGAGATGTTTCCCCTCAGTCATATACAAGACAAATGAGGTAGTTGTTCAGTGTATCAACCAATGTGATTGACTGAAGGATTTGCATAAGAATAAAGATCACCAGGAAAAATACCCAATGAGTAGATTCTTAATTATCAGAAATGCCAATCTATGACTAATGCCTCCTGTGAGGAAAACATAAAAGTTTGTCTCATCTTTTCTAATACAGCTACAGGGTATCTTTTCCTATACAGTGCTACTTTTCAAAGTTTTCATATGAAACAGGGCTCCCCTTTCATTACATGCTGTCTAAAGTAAAGCATTTGCTGTGGGATGAAGATGCATTGCTAACACAGGTTTCGTGGATGACCCTGGTGCATCCCTTAATTCCTCCTGCTGTGTTTCCATATCTGCAAAATGGAGTGTTTTTGCATAGTGATGATACTAGCAATAAAAATTCAGTTACAGAATAATGAATTGTACTGTACTCAAGCTCTTGAAGGCAGGACTAAAAAGAAATCTCTTTCAACCCTTGATACATACATAGTCTTTCCAATAAAACCTTCCTGCCTACATGGATGGGAAGACAAGCTGTCATAACAGCTCTTTCTAAAACTGGAAGCTAAGTGGATTAAGATGTTTCAATGAATTAAGTAATGCAATACAGGACTTGTGCCTTCCCTGACACTAAAACCTGAGGCAACGTGACAAAGGACACCAGACAATTCAGAACAACGTGACTTCTTTCCAGTAGATCACATGCCATTATCTACTGTCTCTGATTTTGGCCTTTTTAAGAGATACTCAGAAGCTTTACAGTGACATGTAAGACAAGAGAATATTTTGCCTGTCTGAAATTAACTACAAGAATTCAACCTGAATGAACCTGAAGACAAAACTCTGTCAGCAGATACGGTCTCCCCAAGACCAGAGTTAAGCAATAGGAGAAGTATCATGTATATGATGCTACGAACATTATCTGCGGTCTGAACAGAGTAAGAATTTCAGGGCTGTAAAATGATCCACTCAACACTTTCTGCAGCACTGGTCTAGCACCAAAATTTAGCAGAAAATGAAGAAGATGAGAATACAACTCTCATATTTGAAAATCCAACACTACGTACCGTAGAACTTCCAAAATAGGAAAGACACTGTTTCCAGCTCCACAGCCAACCTAAAACCAGAAGAGAAAAAAAGTTAAAATAAATGAGTAAATATAACTGTTTTTGTTATTTTTGTCTTAAATTAGTTGGCACGTAGGACCCATTAAAGTTGAAGGTATGCTGGACAGAAAAGGTTTAAACAGCTCATACCACAGTTCTCAAATTATTTATGTTCTCAAATTATTTATGTTTCTCCTCAATGTCTTTCTAAAGTTGAGAGAATCTGTCTCTCAAACTGCATAAGAAAATGCAATATTCTTGTCCAATTTCACCATTTGGCAAGAATACGTCAAGTACTTGCGCTTTTAGACAAAGCAATATAAGTTTCCTTAGGAAACCAGAAACCCAACTTCCAATGACAGTGGAATCTGATTATCTAGTCCTGTTGTATTAGGGAGAAACTTTAAAGGAAAAACAAGGTCCACATGCTAGGTTTCTGTGAAAGTTTCTGCCATAAATGAATGTTGTATGTTAAACACTAAATGCTCACTGTCTTGATACTTACTAAGCATGTTTATTAGATTTTTGAGCAATTAAGTGGAGCTCTATATGATGAGTACAACTTTTGCAGGGCATTACCTCTAATATTCTGTAAGTGGCATCACTACCAGGGAAAGATTCTAGCCTGCCAAGTTCTTCTCCATAGTTTTTACCCTGAGGATTTTCACTAGGCGTTTCTGCTTGGATTTTATTATATACATATCCTTGTACAGCAGTAGAACCACCTCCATAATTTTTCTTCCAGTATTTTTCTCCTTCATCAAACATTTCATTTTTGTGTGAAAACCTGTTGGTACTATTTATTTTCCTGTGTTCTGAAGATCTTTCTTCTCTTTTCAATTCTTGTCTCTTTTCTTCTGGAAGAATTTCTGGAAATTCCAGAAATAGCCAATTACGATCCTTGAAAAAGTTATTTTTATGGGTCTTGTAAAATTCATTCCAATATTTACTGGCTTCTCTTTCATATTTATCTGAAATTAAAAGAGAACAAAACCTTGGTGAATATGAGTTTAGCTACAAAATAAAGCAACATGGAATTTAGATCTCAAATATACATAAAAATCCATAGTTCCACAGATTGTACTTTTATATTAAAACATACAGATTTTGGATTTACCTTAATATGTGCTCAAAATTATTCCTATGAAGGTTTAATTACATTTTATGTCACTTAGGAAGGGGCAGACAGGCTTTCTGCATCACTTTTTTTAATACAGTGACATACAGCAGCACCAAAACATGCAGTCTCAAGATTCTTAGACAAACTTTTGTTTGTCTCACATTATAAAAGCAATGCATCCTTTCAATTATTTAAAAAATACTAAATGGAAATTAATTTTATATTTTAGGAAATTCTGTGATCAATTGCAAATTTGTTGGCAGCTAATTACCTCTTAATAAGCCCCAGCAAGTAGAAATCCAGTTCTGTGAACATGAGTGAGAGATGCTCCTGCATAGCACATAGACACTAATTCATGCTTAACCATTCAACAAGACAGTCAGAAGGAACATACTGGCTTTCTTACTTTCACAACACTTCAGAGTTTTACAATAGAGCTTTGTGCTAACTTTTAATTCGCAAAAGATTCTAACTGAATGTTAGAATGTAAAAGAATAGGACAGGGAGGGATTTCACTCAGTCAGGGAATTCACACCCCTTCTCCACAAAGACCTCTCCAACTTATTCTTAAAATACCACCTTTCATATAGGTCTAACAACTCTCTTCAGTAATATGTTACAGTCCTTAACTTTCAATGTAGTTAGAAATCTTTTCCACTACCTAACTCTAATTTCTGTATTGTAATTAGGTCCAGCGATTCTTGTCCCATTAACCAAGTACATAAACCAGAGATTACTCCCTTTTCTCTTTGTGACACCTATTTACATATTTGAAGTGCTTTACTATGTCTCCCATTAAACCTCATTCTAGAAATCTCTCTTCTTTTCTCAATACAACTCACGATTTTTAGACTTTTAAAAATTTTTATTTGTCCTCTCTATATTCTTTCCAACTGATTTACTGCTTTTCAGTGCTGTATTCTGGTAAAGGCATTATCAATGCAGAGCAAAAAGAGTATTTTACAAGGCTCAGAGGCTGTAATCCTGTTTATAACTCCCAGTTTGCCATTTTGCAACAGCATGACACTGCTGATTCAGCTAGTGATTCACCACAACCCTCAGATCTTCTTCTGCAAAATGACTACCTAGCCAATTGTTCCAGAGTCTAGTATTTTTTCAAGGAATTATTCCGAAGCGCAGTATTCTGCATTTATTTTTAGCAAACTTATATATTTCAAATTCTTTTTTTCCCCCATTTGTCCAGATCTTTCTGAATCTTAATCCTGTCCTTCACCATACTTGAAACATCTCTTCACTTAATATCATCTTCAAGACTGCGATTTCCTGAGGTCACTAATGAAAATACCAAGCAGAACTGGACACAGAATAAAACAGTCCTCACCCAGCACAGCCTTCTGTTCTGAAAGGCTCTCTCTAGGCATTCACTCACCCAAAAGCAGTTTCATTAGCTCTCGCTTGCCTAACTTGCTTATGAAAATGTCAAACAAAGCAAGTCAGAAGCCTGACTAAGGATAAACTTCAGGACGTCTGCTGTTTTTCCCTTATCCCCAGGGCTTGTAACCTTCTCCAAGAAGGAAATTAGCTTGATTTTACATGATTTATTCTTGAAAAAATATTTGTTGGCCAGTATTCATCTCCTTTGTTCTTTCAAACCCAGTGTCTGCAAGCTCTGGATGTACTCTTCCAGTATTTTTCCAGGAACTGAAACTAATTATCTGACTCTTCTTTTTTTCCCACCTCCCTTTTTTAAAAAAGTAAATATTCTCTTTTCTGCTTTTCCAGTCATCCATGTACTCTATGGATGTACTTTGTAACCTGTTCTTTCTCAGTTCCAGAACAAGATCTTTCCTCCTTCTTACCAGCACTAATTGTGCTAGCCACTGGACTGCAGCTAACCCTTTCAAAGGCAGGCTGATAAAAAGATAAGAATTACAGCTTTTTCAATGTCTCTTTTGTTGATGGTTTTCCCTTCCTTATTCCCCCTAAGTACCAAAGTAAATCTTTTTTCTTGGGTTTCTTCCTCCTCATTCTCGAGCATTTACAAAATTATCTTGTTACCTCTGACATCTCTTGCAAACTGTAGATCATATAATGTGTTGCCTTTTTTATTTTGTCCCCACTCACACTGACCCATTAATTTTTTCAATAAAAAATGCACGGAGTAAATATATGGTGCATTTCTCCTACTACTCTCATTTAAATCTTATCATATTATTTCCCAAGAATTATTATTAGAGGCACAGACAGGCAGTAGGAAGCGGGAAGGAGGTGGCAGTATGCCTTGTCCTAGAAATCTGCATAATATTTTAAAATTAACATTTAATACATCCAATTGTATTATTAAAGGGCAAGACCCGGCCATGCAGAGTAATTGTACAGACTTGTTATAATGTAAGTTCATTTTTATAATGTAAGTTCAGTTGATTGAGGTCGTATATATCAGATTTCAGCAGTGTAAGTTGCACATTCATAGATTGTTCAACATCAGTATAAAAACAAAAACCTCTTCCAGTCAAAAGGTTTTTAAATCATTATCACCCCTTGTTACTGTCATTACTTTTCTACAAGCCTGCTCAGACCCCCGTACTTAAATTCACATCAAGTTTTCCAGATTTCAGAAATGAAAGAAAGCAATACCAAAAGTCAGCCTTTCAAACTGTATTAGTATGGAATTACATGGGTTCAAGTGAAAGAACACTTCACTTTGCATCGTTTCACTGGTCACTCCTGCACCACTGTGTAATAGCTATGCATGCAGTATTATTATCACATTTTTGCTTCATTTTGTATATTTAGGTAGTCTACCTACTAAATTTTCCAAAGCATGTAAAAATGACAAAACTAAAAAACACATAAACTTCCAAGTAAAAAAAAAAAAAAATCCCTTACTTTGTCAATTGATGTTTCTCCTTAACAGAATCTTCCAACACTAGCAAGCATGCCTTAGAAGAAGCTAGACACACTAATCAGTAAATCAAATTCCTAAAAGTAGTATCATGAGTTCATTCAACTTAACATCTCTTGCCTTAAAAAGGCTCACCAGAACTATTCTATTTTAGTGATATAATAGTACTGTTGAAATCTGTCTTGTCTTTTCCCCCATACTGGAGTTTTCAAGGCCCCCAAAGAACCTGCTCGTTAGCTTCGGTCTGGTTCATTGTTTACACAAATAGGCCAAAATGTACTTCCACTTGCAGAATGAAGCTGAAGCTTTCTGAAGGAACACTATCAGCACTGCTTACCTATTCAAATTCTAAACAGAGGGGCATTCATAGGAAATGTCCTTGGATTCTTGTATTTCTTGGCAATAGACAAATGCCTGATTATTCCATTTCTCACCAGCACAAACTAAGTTCTAACTGATTGTAGATGAAGAATTAAAGGTTCCACGAGCTACATGGTCACACAGCTTACTTTTCAATTATGAGCTCTTTTTCAGTTTTTTATACAAACCAAAGGAAAATATTAGATGTAATTTTTGAAAAACAAACATTGTACTTAGATAAAAAATGTGAGAGGTAACAGAAAAAGGCAGGCTGACAATCCCAGAGCATTCAAGGTGATGAAGGGCACAAATTCAAGGCACGTTCTCAGGTAATTCAAATAAACTCCAACATGTGCCTTAGTTATATCAATGAAACTCAGCACGGGATCATAATGACACTATCTAATTTGACAGATTCAAGACATGCTAAGTAAACTGAGGCCCAGGATATCCAAGTACTTGCTTTCAGAATATCTTTCTAACACTATAACAAATTAAGAATCCAGACTTCTATGATCTTATCAAGTTGATACTGCAGCTTTAGCACACATAACTACCTTAGAGTTTAGTCTATGGTTTAGTTTGAAGTTTGAACCTAGAGCTATCACTCTTCAGAAACTCAGAATACATTAAATTTCCCATCTGAAGACAGGCACAAATTTCGTTAATCATTTACAGTGCAAACTCAACCTTCCACACAAAGTGAACACTCTGCCTCCTGAAGCACTCCCAGTTCAGCCTGGCAAAGACAGCAAGGTGGGACCAGTTGGGACCAGTGCAACTTCCATGGCACTTCACTGAAATACAGTGCAATGCACAAACACAAGCTCTCTAAATAGTCTACTGATCATTAAAAAGCATTTGAATATTGTACATGAACTTTCATCCCCAGCACCATAGCTGGATGCAAATTCATTCCTCTGATTCTGTAAAAGGCTCGTGTAGTAGTTTTATTCTGAAGAACTGCAAAAGGAGTCAGAACAACAGTACCATACTGATGTACTTCTTTTATAGAGAGCCTATTGCTCCCCAACTGTGAAACTGTTCAAATAAGTAACTGAATTGCTAGAAAAACACACTTTGAGATCTTTTGAGGCAACAAAGGGAAAAAAACCCAAACCAAACAAGAAAATTTAGACAAGAGAATGTAGAAATAAAAAGGGTGTTCCTAGATTCTAAAGCAATTTAAATGTTTTCATAAACAGCATTAAAATAAGAATTTTCATGCCTTTAGGAATTTTTTACCTTGATCTTCCCATTGAACTTTCACAAGTGAGTTCTCTGCTGCTTTTTTCTTGGCACTCTCCTCTTCTTCTTGCGACCACTGCATGTGGTCCCTGAGAAAGGCAGATGAAGAACAAGCTTTTTCATAGGATTTTCCATAATATTTTTTTCCAGGAAAAACAGTATCAAATTAGCTATATTGTCTCAAATAGTTTTTTTTTTTTGAGTGAAAGCAACTTCTCACATTACTAGTGTTTATGATGAAGAACTAAGGTCATTTAGCAAAGAAATCAGCTGTTCCTGACACAGTGAGCATAACCCACCTATACCACTGGAACCAGCGGAACTGATGAACAGGATTTTACTTATTTGGGGATTAGAGACGGGTAACATTTAAAAAAAACAATGAGACATTCATAAGAAAAGACAAGCAGTGCTACAATGGTTCCAAAGTTTATGCCCTCTCTATTTGTGTAAAGTGGTTAACTAAATGTTATGTTAATCAATTAAACGGTCACAGAACCAAGCCCAGGTCTGACACTGATGACTAAACTGCCTTCCCTGCAGATTCTGTGTTTGGATCAGGCCACAACGGGAAGTGCCCAAAAATGTGCTGCTGGCCATTCTTAAAAGCCAATCAGCTGTCCCTCCAAATCATCCAGTCTGAACAGATTAAATTCGATAATATAATTCAAGTAATCTATTAAATCCTAATCCTACTGAAATCAACTAACTGAAAGCCCATGACTAAAATTCCATTGGTTACTATGGGAAAAGAGACAAGGTGCCAACTTGGGAAGAGCTGATTGTCTCTAAAAGCTAATGAGCATCTTCCTGTTCCGTACCTGGTGACATATAGGTAATTTAATTCTTAGACCTTCACTGTTCCTCTTTGTTAATCGTGGGAGACTAATTGGTATGTATTTGTCTGCTTGCCTCAGACTTGATTTCCGCATCTCTACTGAAATATTTCTCATTATTGTCCCCAGCACGTTGCCTCTCCCCTTCCTGTATTTGTTCATATACCCAATGTTCCTGGGCAGTGTCATGGCTCTGACAGACGTGCTGCAGCAGAATAAACTGAACGACCAAAAGCATTGCTAGGCGGTCATCCTCTTGGAAAGACTTGCTTCCCTCACTGCTATCACCTTTTTTGACCTTGCCTATTCCAGCAAGCTGAAACCAAGGCCTATTCAGATGGCAAGAATTCACAGCCAACCCTTCTGACGGATGACTTGCTCTGGTATAATCTTCAGCTGATCAAATTTAATCTATCACTGTGTGTCTGTCAGAGCCCCTAAGGGTGCCTGAAGCCTTCCATCTTCAATGACCTTTTTTTCCCTTTTTTCCTTCCTTGGAAATTCATAAAGCTGAAGAAGGATCTTTTAGCTCCTTCCTAGAAATTTCTGTATGGTAGATCCCAAACAACATGACTGCAGCAGCACTTCCTGATCAAAATCTACAAAAGAGGAGACATAGCATGGTTCTTATGCAAACTATTTATATAGTTTGGATGCTTCAAATGAGGCAATACAAGCTGGTAGGAACACAGGACAATCCTAAACATGAAAGTGTTTAAATACAGAAGTGTTTTAAGCTGAACACTGACAGCAGCAAAGCAAGATATCCATTTTAACCACACCAGGAGCTGTTAACACGAGTAGGCCTGATATGAGATCAAACAATGCTGCTTTCAGTTCAGCTTATTCAACTTAGTCCTTTTCCACTAACTTGTTTGCTAACACAGGGTTTAATTATCTCTGTGATAACGTGAAAACTATGCCAATTACTAACCTGAATAGAAGCAGACATTTTTTGCTCCCGTGTTTAGCCTCATTCATTACTCCTCTCTCAAAATGACAGAAAAGCAACACAGCAAACATCTAAAGCATTAGTTCTCAAATTTAATTTGCTTAGTATGTCTAGCAGCAATGGTAGCAGCTCTTGGCTCTCTGCCAATTCACACACAGACAAAAAGAATGACAAAGCATGAAGTACCAAAGATGATGAGTGGAAAACAAAAGGATATCATCCATCAATGCTAGAGAAGATGAATATCTTATGCTCACCCTGCAGAATCTATTCAGCACTACCACCACTCATCCTAATCCCCCTTATCTCCCTAGTGAGAACCCTGCCAATTCAGTGAGCTTCAGATGCAAGGACCTACACCTCTTCAGAGCCAGGTTCTTGGTTTGTCAAGACCATCACAACTTCCACATACCTCTGCTTCAAACTCAGTTTCATCTGCTTTCCCTTCTGAGCTACACGGATTCATCTGCAGATCCATTTTCTGAACAACACTGTTTCTTTCACTCTCATTTTCACAACCCATCCCAACCACCTGCATCAAAGTTTGATAACTCTATCAGACTGTCACCCAAGGCTAGCAGGAAAAACTGAAGCTACACAAGATCAGCTTTTTGCAAGGAAATAAAAAAAAAAATAATAAAAAAAAAATAAAAAAAAATAAAACAAACCCAAACAACCAGAAAAACCACCCCCAAACTGAATTTCATTGAGATACAATGTTACAGAAAACGGATGGCCTTTTCCTAAAAGATTTATTAAAAAAGATTTTAAAATCTTTTCGTACCTTGATTACACAGTCTACATTTAAATCAGCATTTACACAGGTAAAGGATTTTTCCACCTAGCAGAAGGCACTAAGCCTGGAATATGTTGAAGAACTACACTGCATATACATTTATGAAACACAGAGATTAACTTTACACTCTTAACACAATAATCAGCCAGCTTCCAGCTTTCTTGGCCAAGGAATGTACGGAAGTACAGTTTACTCCAAATATGGCCTTAAGGTGGTAAGTGGCAAGTGTTGGGGACCATGGCTTGGGGACACTTAATTTAGAAAACACTAATAGGTGGCAGATCTAGTTACCTATCAGTTAAGTCCAAATTTAGAGACTAAAAAGAGTAACAAAGATACCAGTTTATTAACCAGAGGGCAATTTTCTGTGTCATATTTTTAAGACCTTTTTAATAATCAGAATTTGATTAGAGAATCTCTTGAAATAATTTAGATTAAAAAGCAAAGTGGACTAATTAACAAATAAAATGGACTACTAAAAAGAATAGCAATTAAAAAAAACAAACAAACAAAAAGCAAACAACAAACAGCAAGTTCAAACTTCATTTTAGAACACAAGCTTGTCCAGTAACTCCTCTGATGGCTGACAGCAGAGGATACCTCTGAGGAAACTGCAAGAATTGTAGATTAGTTCTATGAAGTAAGCTTAAGGTCTGAAACATGTTGTCTGTTACTTCTATGTTATGTTCCCCATTGGTTATTATTAGCCACTTCCAGTCCCTTTTTCTAATTTTGCTAAATCCTTGCTATCAAAAATAGTGACACAATTAAAATATACACTTAAAAATTATGTAGAAAGTAACTTCTTGTATAGTTTTTAAATTCACTACTTTTTATCAAATATTCCTTGGTTTTAAGTTATGAACTATAGAAGAAAAATTCCTGGTTTCCCCAATATGTTAGGTAGGTATTCTTCTACTTTCTAAACAGATTTAGATATTCTTCTATCCTACTAACACTTCCTGTATTACTTGCTGTTTTGTATTCATCTCCATTCCATGGTAAACAATCTTAGCCTTTTCAGTCTAATTTTTCCCACTGTGTTGACCAGCATTCTCCCTCTTTTCTGAGCACCCATTAATCACAAAAATACCTTTTAGAGATGGGGACGCACTGTTGCAAAAAAGGACAATTCTTATTCTTGTTAACATTTACACATTGATGTCTTCTCTGCTGTTACATCGCTTATATATGTTAAGATTCAATTTACTTGTTTTGATAATTGCACACTGTATGGAAATCTCTGCTGAATGATCTGTAACATCTTCTGTATACCTTTAGAAGAATAATTTACATGTTCCTTTCAAGGTGATGTCATTTTTAGACTAGGGCACTAATTCAGGATGTAACCTTATTGTACCTAACAAGTAACGTTCTGCCATTACGAATAACATGGACTATCTTAATACTACACTTTCTGTCTCTTAATTAATTACTGATCTATACAATATTTTGCATTTCATTCCTTGACTGTTTACTCAGCAGCTTTTTATGGAAGTCACTGAGGACTTGTTAAGTGTCCAATTACTTGTGACAATCCTAAGCATTCTCTGGTGCCCCCTTTACATGTCTTTCCTGGCAGTACCTTGTTTTATACACAGACACATCATTATTCATCGTAAACAGTAGATGAAATTATATGAAAATCAGCCTTGAAGAAACATCTCACCACATGTTATGCTCAAAGACCTTAGAAGGATCAGTTAAAATCCGTGATCCAAGTGGAACAGCTGGTCGTCTATTACTTTGGTGCCTGTGTTGCATCTTGCTTTTCCTCAGACATAAAGCAGGAAGCCTTGTAATGAAATTCATTTTGCTCAGAGACCTGAAAACACATTTAACTCAAATTACAATTTTGCTGTAACTTAATTGTTTATGTCGCTTACATGAGAAACGGGTCAAATCATCAAGCACCAGTATCAGTTTTAGTAATAATAATCTACTACAGTTCAATTTAAATGCTTTTCAGAAAAAAGCAACATCCCTTCAGTGCACTGAAAACCCAAAAAATCCCAAAGTAGGCTGGAATGAAACCAATTGAAGGACAAATTATTTGGTATTTCAAAATCCTATCAAGCAGGGGAAAGAAAAGCAATACACGCTAAAACAATAACCCAGGTCTGATATTGTACCTTTAGGAAGACAAGCAAGAAATGATCAGTAAAGAAACCACTTGTTCAAGTGGGTACATTCTGTCACCAAGATTGACTTTTTCACCTCACTCATCATCTTCAAAAGATTTTATTCTAGATCTGTGACTCTGGTTTTATGCTTTTAAATAGGAAATGAAAGATTTTTCAGAGTGTAAACATCACGCATCAGAAAACCTTCCAAAATTTCCCATACCTATTTAATGCTCTCTTTGAAATGAAGGGTCTTAAATGTTGAATTTCTACCAATGCAAATTATAAGGTGATTGAGATTTTTCTATTACGTGTATAATTCCGTTATACAGCTATATTTTACATTACTTGGAATTTCTTCATACAATATGAAATTTCAAATAATGAACGATAACAAGTGTGTGTAGCTCATACCAGCATTTTTTCTTGGGTTTTTATTTTCTTTTTTTTTTTTTTTTCATTTTCTCATTAATGTAGGCTTTCTACGAGATGAGTAAAATGAAATATACCTCCTATTACTACTTTTACTCTAATGTGCCTCTGTTCTTTTTTCCTTCAAATGCTCTGCATGACTTTCAAAATGATTCTTAGTCCTATTTTTTTCTGCCTTTTCTTTTTTTTTTTTTTTGAGTGCTGCTTCTGTAAAAACCACACATACAAATTTAATGCACTAGAAATACAAAATGTAGTTACAAAAGAACAGGTACAAGACACTACTAGAAAACATTCTGTGCAAATTGATTACAAAATGAAGATCTTGAGGAAAATAGTACTATTTGATCACAAGTCTCATATTGCGAATCAAAAATTATTAATTTGTACACATCACTACAAAGACTGGCAAAGGAATCACTAATTAAATGAATAATTTCTCATTTATGGTGTACTTATGAATGAGTCATGCTTTCAGCCTACCGGAAAAAAAAGGAAAAAAGATTAAAATTTCTTTTTATTTGTGAAAGATTAAATAAAATGAAGTTTACCTTATGGTTGTCAGTGCCAAATAAAACCATTGTTAATTTTGGCTAATAAGACCGCAATGTTATTGGGATATGGGGGCACTGCCATACAGAGAAAATAAACCATGTTGTCCTATTAAAAAAATCAGAACTTCTAATGTTAGCAAGTTTATTAAGGCTTTCTTTTCTTATATGTGGCTCAGCAACTAAAACAATTCCAGTTTATACTTCATTTACTACAAATTGTTTACGCTTTGTATTTTTTAAATATGTATGCATTTTTCATAACACAATGCATAACTATTAACATATATGGGATATAATGAAATAATTATTATGAGACATGAAAATTAAGACATTATGACAATTTCTGCAAAATGTGTAATTTTCACAAAGGGAATGTTCTTGAAAACAAAATCAAATAGAAAATCCTCCAAAACCTCAAACTACGATCTAAAATTATTATAATTTAATTACATAAAAACGCCTGGATAAAGATTCCATTATTACATTGCAAACTGTTTACAAATCCTCTTCCTCCTTCAATCATTCAAAAAGACCTGAGTTAGTATCTTGCATTTCCTGTGCCAGCATTGATATTCACCATGAAATATGATTCAGCTGCCAGGCTAGTCACATAATTTTTCTTGGCTTTCTAAATATCTCAATAAGAACATGAAAAGATGCACAGATGGCAATTATAGTCAGATGACTAAGATGATCTTGCATCAGTAAAATCCAGATATGCAACTCTTTCTATGAAAATGTAATCCTTTGAGTGGTAAAGGAACAATTTTAGTTGATAAAATCTGAAAATGCAAGGAGAGTGAGGTAGGTGTGCAAGTTAAATTTACTATTGCATCCAGAGTTAAATGTAAATGAACTCCTTGGAGACGTGCATGTATATCCCTGAGAGTTAAAAGTGATCCACAGATCGTGAGATAAGTGGACAACCTGGCTACTAAAAGTTCAAAAAGCATCTAAATTACTTGGAAACCTAAATAACATTTTCAGAGGCAAGTCCTTGCTCAGTTGTTTCTCTAAGTGATTTTTGTTAACGAAACATGCAAACACCCTTTCTTTGTCAGGTAAGATGATCATACCTCGAAGTCATGACAGCAAGAAATGTCTGAAAAAATTAGGAGTTATTTCCTTGTTCCAAGGCACAGTCAGGAATACTTTTAGTTTGTTTATTAATCAAAGCAATTCAACCTTCATCTTTAACGAAATTAACACAAAACTGAATTACATTAAAAATGGCTAAATTTTGTGGCAGCATAGCTATTTTTCAGAAAAAGAAAAACTTTAAAGAAGCAATGCAATTCATAACCATGATGAAAAGCAATATGGAAGACTTTTTCTCCCTGTGGAGTACTGCCTTTTATCCTTTATAATTTTGTCACTGTTACAAGTACAGATCAGTTTAGTTGAGAAATTTCAAGAAACAGCCTTAAAACTCCTCCTCTCTTCAAACAAGCTAACACAGCACCTTCAGCAATACTTTTTAAAAGTGGACATGCAGAAGAATGTATACACATCAACTGCTAGCTAGACCTGAAAGAATACATTTCTAATTGATGTTGGCATTAAAACCTTGAGCAGTCACACCCACAGAGATAAAAATAAAGATACAGGAGAAAGGAACTGTTTTAATTTTTTTAATGGTGGATTACACCCCAAAACATACGTAAACCACTTCACCAATGACTAAAATCCTTTAAAAATATCAGTTCTGAGGAAAATGTCAGAGAAGAAAAAACAAAACAAAAAGAACAGAAATAACCTGTAATTTAATGAACTTATTGGATGAAAATATTTTGACATTTCACCGCTCTCCAACTACAAATCTAACACCTTCTTCCATGTTCAATCACTAAGCCAACTTGTAGAGTCCCTGTTATAAAGAAAAAATTAGCCTATATTAGGAATAGTATGTGCAGCTTATGTTACATTCCTAGACAGATAAGTATTCTGGAAACAATTAACTTTATACAGTCACTTTTTCTTGGCACCTAGAAGCTTATCTAGACATTTGACCATTAATCCCCAACACTCTCGTGTAAAGCACAGCTGATCTACTTTATCACCATCAAACACTACCAAAACTCAAAACATCTTACACAAAACAGATGCAGGTGACAATCATGGCCACAAAGGAAAAAAATTTTCAAGATAATGGTAACACAGAAGGTATAACTATGAATTACCAGTGGTTATTTTTAAAATACATACATATTAATATTTCTTAATATTTCAAATCCAAGGGGATGGGGGCGACTTTACTGTCAACCAGACTCATTCATCAACTGAACGCTTAATGCTATTCTATTCTACCAAGTGACTAATCATGCCCTCTTGAGGTTTCATGATTAGTTTTTCAATTATATACTCCCAAAAAATTATGCACATTTGAAACAATAGGATATTTCACAACTTTTCAAACTCAGCGGATCTAAAATTTTCAACTGTTTTTCTTTCTCATGCATAATAACCAGGAATGATGCAGACCTCCCTGTGGGCATACAGCAACTTCAGTAAAACTGCTGCAGAGCGCTGACTCCCCAGAGGAAGAGAAAAACAGAAGAAAAATTATTTTGATTTATTCTGACTTCTATACAGACAACACAATTAGCACTGGTTAAAAAGCAAAGCAGATAAAAACAAACAAATCAACCCCACCAGATACGATTGTAATCACATGTACACAAATGTTCAGTGAGAAATGCCTGTTCTTACACCAGCTGGCAGGTAGCCTGTCAAAAATAGCCGAGGAAAGAGGAAATAGTTTCTACAATGGTAGAGGGAGAGAGAGAATGGGAGACAAACCCTGCTGATGTTCTGAAAACATTTACTTGAATCACAGAAGAGTTCCCCGTTACCCTGCACACCCTCTGCTGGCTGCTGCTTACACAGGAAGAAGGAAAAAGAAGAGAGGAAAAAAAAAAAAAAAAGGAGCTGTGGTGACTGTGTATATGAATACATATACATGCACTGAGAAGATACATCTAAACCTCCAAATGCAACCACTTAAACTGTTTTTATTCCTATTTTCTACAAAATATCGAATATTTAACTGTATTATCTAATAAAAGATGATTTGTCTCAACACAAACTATGTTTTCCTTCTATTAAAGATGATGAGAAATGGGATAGAGCAATATGAATTTTACTACTGTCTACAATTTATATTGAAGAACTTCCTTCACGAACATTCCTGCAAGACTCTGGGTGTCCATATGAACTTTGCTTAGCTGCAACCTGCCCTGTCAGCTCAGAAGTCACTGGCAGTATTGCAGATCCACTGGGCAGGATGCACTTAATCTCCTACCCAGGTCTTTGAAGGAGCATCTGCAACCACCGTGTTAGTGTGTTTAGCTCACTTCACGAAGTAACTGTAGAGCACCAGAAAATTAGAGGCCCCTCTCTTTGCTTACAGTATCAGTGAAGACTAAAGGTTTCACTCAGAGATCCTGAAGAACAGACACGGACAAAGCACACAAAACATCAGCAACTTCCGCATTACCCCATGTGGGCGCCTGCCCTCTGCCAAGCAAAGGAAAGAAGTTTTTCCGCAGACTTCAGCTGCTCTGCCGGCAAGACTGATAACTGTGACAACTTTTAGGATGTAGCTTTAAAAATACAAAAATTGAGCATCATACATCTTGAGAAGCTGCTGTTGACCTTGGAGTCTTAAACAGGGTTACACAAATCCCCTAACTTTCCAACCTTCCCCCCAAGTCCGGGTACGCTCCATCCCACCCCGCCGTACCCAAAAGGGCTGATGGCCGGTGCCACCGGCCCGCAGGTGCCAGACCGGCCGGGGCAGAGCTCCGGGGGCGGCTCCGCGGGTACGGGCGGGCGGCCCCGCCCGCTCCTCTCCCTGACCCCCGCGCAGCGCCTCCCTGCTGCCCGCTCCTCCGAGCGGTGCTCGCCGACGCCGCAGCGCTGCCGACCCGGGCGCGGCCCCGCTCCGCCGCCCACCGCGGGGCCCACGCGGCCGCCCCAGCCCGGCGGGCCCCGGCGGCGGCTGCGGGGCCCAGGGAGCCGCGGAGGGAGGTGAAGTCCGGGCGCGCCGCGCGATTCCGCCCCCGAAAACTACAGTACCCGGCGGGCCACGGGGAGGCGACGGCGGCGCAGGGTTGTTGGTGCCTGCGTTTGCGGGAACTCGGCGGCGGGGGAAGCGCGGGGAGCGGAGCCCCGGAGGGAGGCCTCGGTGTGCGTCTCTCGGGAGTCAAGGGGCAAGGGGCCGCTCGGGCCTTTCCCCGCTTCGCTTCACCTCTCGCCGGGCAGGGCGGGGGTCTGAGAGAAGCCCGGCGCGGGTGCGGGCCCTGCAAGGCTGCGCGACCCTCCGACAGCCAGGCTGGAGCGGGGCAGGAAGGCGAGCGTGGAGCGGGGCAGGAGGGCGGTCCCCCCCCGCCGGCCGGGAATGTGCCCGCAGGCGGCTCCCGGCCGAGTCAGGGCCGCCCCCCGGGCGCCCGGCCCTCACAACGTTTGCCGCCTCCTCGCCCGCAGGGCCCACGGCTTCTATGCCAGGGATGCTGGTGTAGCCCACAGGAAAAACCTGGGACTCCTCAGGAAGATCATGTGCCAGGTAATAGCGGGGCGTTTCGCGCTGACGGAATCCCCGCGCGTACTCGCTTTCAGTCGGGCGGGCTGAGTGTCAGTCCTCAGCCCAGGTGTTTGAGAAGTCTCTGGTCTTGGAGAGAAAAAATCTGCAGTTTTACTGAAAAGAGTTAGAAATGGTTAAATTTACTTCACGAGGCTCGGACCTAGAAATGTAGAAACGATTATGCTGTGCAAAAACTACAGAAGCACCTGTAAATCTAATAATTGTGTTAAGAATAAGCTTTTGTGGGATTTTACATCACTTATATCGCTAAGATGGCTTCATATTTAATACCAATAATAAATTCGTGGTGCTTAAGAGAGCATCAATGTTAAATTTGAAAGGAGTTCTCACAACTAAACAACCTAATCGGCAGAGTCCTTCAGGTAAACATAACCCTAATCAGTCAGTGAATTTATGGTAGAGAAAAAAATAGGAATTAAACCACTTAGAAACTGAACTCTTTTTTTAATCAGAACAATTACTGCTCCCATGCAGGAGTTGATAGGAATACATTGGAAGTGGAAGGGAATTGGCAGTTATATTGAAAATAGGTTTATTGGAAGTCAGCTGAAGTGTGTTCTTATGTAATTAGATCAATGGGCACGCAAGGTTTATTGAAATAAAAATAAGTATATATGATTTACACTTTTTTTTTGGCAAAACTAGAACCTTTGTTAATGGTATAAAGCTGCTGTACCCGTAATGCATGCAAGAAACTTCTATGGCAGCACTTTATTCCATTAACATTTCAGGCACTTTTTGCAAATAACTGCAAACACATTTTTCTACCTTTCGCACCAAACACCACTGGCAAAATGGAACTAGATGTTCAATAAATACAATTAATTACATATAAAAGAATTCTGTGCATATTTATGCTCTGGGGAGTTTAGTTCTTGATTTCAAAAGTCACCATGAGAGTTTAGTTGCCAGCTTCAATGCAGGTGAGATAATGACAGAATGTTCCTCACCCATGCTGTCCATTATAGGTAATAAAGAATCTTTTAATTTGGTTAAAAAAAAAAAAAAAGACAATTTTTCCGTGAGAAAGGTCTTTTAATTTGGTTTTTAAAAACCAAATAAGATTCTCTTTTATGTTTTCAGCTTTAAAGTTTCAATTAATGTAAGCTGTTAAGGTGCAGAAGCCAAATAAAATATTTTCCAGAAGCAAAGTTTATTACAAAAGCCATCATTATTACAACTACTGTGTTTCAGGAAAGTACTAAATTCAAGAATGTTTGGACAACTCATTCTGCATCTCCTATTGCCTATGAAAGAGGAAGAATATACATGGACAATTACCAGTGCTGTATTAGCAGGTAATAATTCACAATTACAAGGTACCCTGACGGTTTTGAGACTGTGATTCTGTGTTAGACACGTTACTAACTTGACTCATTCAAATAGCTGCTGTGAATTGAGCGGAATTTACCTAAGAATAAGAAATAACCAGGTGCATAAATCTCTGCTGAATTACATTTAGATGCCCTTGTATTTTAATGTGACACTTGCTTTGATAAAAGAAAGTTTGATCTTAGTAGTGCTGTATTAACTTCAGCTTTCAGAGTACTTTAATAGGAGGGAAAGATGGTCACTATTTTATAATCTACCACTGAAAAGCCAAATGAACAGTAGTTCTCTGCAATCTGGTAACTAGCAGTGTACAGATTTTGTGTCACAAAATCTGCCAATGCAACAAGCCTCATGTCTATGAATTCTGTATAAAACAGGTAAATTATTGTTCACTAGAAAGTACAGCATGCAGAGTTATGTGCTGGATTTTGCTAATGTATTTTGCAGATCAATTCTCTGATCTAATGTACTCTCTTATTCCATCATCAGTTGCAGAGGCACAGGTTAGGAGGCAGCATATGGCAGGGTAGAGGATGGGAAATCTGTTTACACCAGCCCTTGTCTTTGCCCGTCCCTCCTGTGAGGGAAGTAGCATGGTCTTGGAGAACTGCATTGCTGAGTAAGTTGTGGTCAGAGCAGTTTTGAGACAGTGTCATATGATACATAAAAGACAAATTACTCTGTCAGTGTAAACCACTGAGAGTTAATTAAATTAATCTATCACTTACAGCTGAGATCTAAATCTACTTCTATTCCTACATTGTCTGAATGCTTTCAGTACTGGGTTAACCTGTCTAACATCTTTCAGGTTTATCTTTGTCTCATCCTCTTCCAGAGGGGAAAACTATGCACAGTACAAAGCTTTTATTTTAGTTAGTAGGGTTTTTTAAAAATATGAAAGGCAACATTGGAAGAAGGGGAAGGTTCCAGGAAGATCGTTAGTTTCTGAAATATGCTTTCTTTTTAATGTATATCACTAAAGGAAGAATGTTACCATTAGGTTTGTTACTAAGAGAAAACAAAAACAAGCCCCAAACAAAGAAACAAAACCCCTACCAAACCACAAGACATAGAGAAGGTTAGCTTTTAAATATTACCTTATATTAACTATTGTTTATTAGGCCTTATTTTGAGAGAAAATTCAGTTATATTTACAGAGTAAATATAAGATGTATAGATTTCTGATCTGCCTAAGGAGAAGGCAGGATTTATAAAACTGTATGAAATGACTTGTTGATAGAATGTGGTCTATAAAATAGACTAATGATTATCCATCATTTTCCTCTAGCATTGCACAAGCCCCAAGAATACTTTATCAAAAGTCAAAGTGTGCTAAGTCAGAAAAAATAGAAGATGCTTTATTATTGGAATGCCCGCTGGTAAGATTATTTTTTACTAGAGCATTGTTGTGCAAAATAGTAAACTAATATATTTCAGTGAAATATATTTAGAGCACTCTTTCTCTGCAAACTACTTTCTCAATGTTTTTATGGAGTTAGGCCATTAAAGGTTTGCAACGTGTGCTGATTTATATTAACTGAACATTTAGAGGTATACTTCTCTGCATTTCTCAACAGTGCATTCAAATGCTTTTTCAGTAAGTGTTCATGGAAGATTTTATGCCTTTATGCTTATGCAACTAACTCTTAATTCCTTACAAAATAGATCCTGTTTATATTTTTCTTTATTCTTTAAATAGCAAGGACAGTAGCTGGGAGTTTTAGTTTTCATCAGATCTGTTCACATTAAAAAAACGAAAAAGCAGATGCGCTGAAGGCCCATTGAAGCAACTCTGCCCAAAATCTGTTCTGCTGTTTTTAACTAATATATAATTTCTCTCTTCCACAAGGAATTTTTCTCCCATCCAGTGTCCACAGATCTTAGAAATATTAGCCTGATCCTTGAGGTGCATAAAAATAAAGCAGTGTAAATACCTTTCTTAGCAGTTACTGTTATCCTTGAATGTCTTATTTTGCAATACTTCAACAATTTTCTCTTCAAGACTGGTATCAATTAGATCAATAAGCAGTTACACTTCATTTTTTGCAGGGCAAGGAAGTTTTAAAAGGTATGTTTTCTAGAAAAGTTAACTGTCTTACAAAAACTATGACAACAGATTTTTTATGGGAAAGGTGATTATTTGGCATGGACATGATCTTAGAGATACTGATGCCATTAGCAGGCTGCTTTCCTCGTTCAGTTTTTGAGGAATGTGTATTAAGTTTTGTGTTCTTCTGGTTGTGCCCAAATGTTATGTATCCTCATGGTAAAAATATTTTTCTAACACCTTTTTTTTATGTAGGGGGAAATGTTACCAAGTCCCTCAGATTATAAAGCTTCCCTGATAGTCTTGACGGTGCAGAACTGGCTTCTACGTCTCTCTGCTGACAGTGGAGAAGTACTGGAAAAAATATACCTTGCTGGTTCCTGTTGCAAATCCTTCAGGTATGAAACAACGACTAGGCTTAATATCATTAACAGTCATTAGCACTAGAGTGGAGAAGGGAAGTCATATTTATTTTAGTACCATCCTGTGGCTGACTACAGGTTTGTTAGTTTAGAGTGTTACCTGGAGTACTGCTCCTGCATGCTCTTACCTGTAGAAGAATTTTATCAGCTTAAGTATTACAGTCTTAAATTTGGTATCAAGTTCCACAAAACCTATGCTACTATTTGCTTTTCTCTGACAGCTTTACAGCCTTTAATATTGTAATGGCAACATACCAGGAAAGGACCTTTAAGCTGTAGAACAAACCTCAACAAACATACAAAAAATGCGTTTAAAATTTGAGCTGTTTGGAACTTGCTAACATTTTTCTCCATTTTGCTCATTTAAAGCAGAGCAGTTACTGCTTCTGGCAAACTGCTGCTTTTTTCAGTTCTCAGAAGAAATTATTTCCTTTAGGCTGAAGGATAAGACAGCGGTGATTATGAAAGGAAGGAGAAAAACTAAGATGGGGAGTGTTCGTGCTTTCCAAATTTTTCTTGCAATCCTGTATGGAATAAGCCATCCCTAGGTTCCGTGGGTGTTGCACTACTGTAAACAGCAAACATCTTGAGCACCTGTTCTGAATCAAGGACTGAAGTTTGCCTGGTCACAGGCACCTACATAGTTACAGTAGATTATATTTTATGTTTATATTTTATAAATATATATTATATTTACTAATGAATTTTTTTTAAGTGATTAAGATAGGCCTTTCTTGTCACAAATAGGTATCTGAGCTGGGATACTCCTCAAGAGGTAATGGTTGTAAAGACAGTTCAGAATAAACTCCCTGCAGCAGCACGGCAGGTAGGTTTGTTGAAAAACTGTCACTTTTACAATATTGATCAAAAAAATGTACAAGTACAAAGATGGAGGCATTGTAATTTGTTATTATGGCAGAAGATCAAGGTGTCCTACCATTAATAACAATATTCAATATTGTTCCTTCTCAGGCAGGAATACAACAGTCTGTATTGTTTTATCTTGCTGTATTCCAAGTTTTACCTCTTTCATTCATTGGAATGCTAGAAATAAACAAAAAGGTAAGTTAATTTCTCTATTAAAATTGATCTGTACTGTAGTTCTATGACAGTTCTAGTTTAGGCACTTGTTTCAGAATTTCAGAACTCATGGTTACAGCTTGTAAAAGGAGCTGAAACATTAATTAGCAGCAGCGTTCTTGTATCTGATAGGGGCGCTGGGGGCAAGATTCTTAATTGTAGTGACCAGAAGAGAAAACAGAAATACATTCTGGTATTGGGTTCGTCTTTGACACGTAGAAGGACTTTACTTAGAGCAATCCTAAGAATTAGGAAATCCTAAAGTAGACTTCTTTTCACCTCCTTAACAAAAGATAGATACGCCTCTGACCCAGTCCTAGTGGTAGTCTGTGCATTCTATACACAGTTACGAATTTTTCAAACTTCTATTATCACTCTTAATGGATGACAAATGTAAATATGTCCTGCTTTATCAGTCAAGAGCAAACAACCTTTCTGAGTTCAGTTTGAGACCTGTGAGTAAGAGCCTTTATACTGGGAAGCCTCGAGGTAGATTGCAAGTTTTCCAATGTTCTATTTTAAGCCAAGAAAACCCTGGATACAGCTTACAAATGGAACAGTAAAAACATGCAAACTCTCTCTTCAAGGTTCTGAGGTACAGTCTCATTCAGAGTCCAGAGCTATGAGTGAGTTTTAGTTGGTGCTAGGTTGGGTTGAGGCTGTAATTGGGATTGGGCTAGCAAGAGAAGGTGTGGGGTTAAACATTTTCATTTGAACCCATGAAAGTTTGGTGCACTGTCTGTTGTTCTGTTCAAAATTAGTATTTAGGACTGGAAAAAATGTTACCAGTATCAAAGGTATGCTCAACCTGGTTAGGAATGGCATACCAGATACATCACGGTCATAGTAGCAAAAGGTCTGAAAGAGTAACGCTTCAGCTGTGTCTGTACCGAGCACTCACCAGAGAAAGGGTTACACCTGGGAATAATGGCAGGGCAGAATTTAGGATGTGAGAATACACCCAGCAGAAGAAGCAACCAGTGAATGCAATGCCAAGCCTGAGATTAGATTAGATTAGATTAGATTAGGGTTACTGTTTAACACTGCAGAACGCGCCCATGCATCAGCTTTACTGAGATGGTACACAATAAATTCTGAGTTCAGAGTGGCTAAGGTCTCAAAGATACAAAGGAGACTTCAGAGTTGGAAGACTTAGGTTTGTGCCTGGAAGACACTGGGACCTACGATAACAAATGTATTTAAAGAACCATAAATCTAAGTAAAAGGCAAAGTCTCAGGAGTGAATATATCTTTCAGAACCAAACAGACCACAAGATCACTGATAGTGTTAAGATGTAGGAGTCTTGCAGCTTTTGGGTTTCTTTATATTTTTTAATTGTTTTTAAGCCTATTTTAACTGGCTTAATTGCTTTTTCACATAGTGTGCCAGATTAAAGAAATGCAAAATACATTTCCAAGCATATCTATTGAAAAATTACCAACATCACATTGTTATTCATTAAATATGAAGAATTAGTTTGTGGGGGTTTCTCAGTGATGTGTTAAACAGTGGCACAAGTGAATACTGCATGATTATTAAAAGCTTCTCATGTTGTGTCTAATTTGGATTCAGAGAGGATCCTGGACTCTGTGACAGCTGGATAATGTAGTTTTGGTACAGCTGTACACAGAGCTGTGAATAGACTAGTATTTTACCCTGGTGATAAAGAAAGAATAGAAGATCTGAAATCAAGACTTGTCGACTGAGTTGCTAGTTCTGCTAACAATCCTGTGGGATTGCTAGATTCCTAAAATCTATTCATGTATGATAATAACAGGGTAACAAGGTATGAAGATACACTGAGAACTTATGAGAGAATGAATCTGCTTGCAGATTATGACTAATCTAACCTTAGGTGTTAGAGCAGTGCAAAGTATTACAGAAACTCAGCAGGACAGATGAATTACAGAAAACTTCATGAACTTATAACACTGATCATAGGGTTTGGTCAGAATAAAAAATGAAAATGATTGCAAAATTAAGGACATAATGTCACTATTTTGCACTGTCTCAATTATTTCTTTAATGGAATACATTTTGCTTCCTTTTATTCCAGATATTTGGTAATAGTGTGACAGATGTTGCTGTTTCTAATGGAATCCTGATTGTAATGTATAGCATGGGTCTGGTCAGACTCTATAACTTCAAGGCCATTTTGGAACAGGTAATGAAATACAAAAGTTTTCATACAGTCCATGCTGTTTGGGCAACAAGTCATAAATATTCACATAATGCTGCATAGGTACATGGGGATTGTGTCAAGGGATAGAGTTCCTGCCTAAATCTATTTATAGTCAGAGGATGCAAATGGATACACTATCAGAAAATTCCACCTGCACCAGTTACAGGGTCAGACAGGCACTTCAGGGGAGTTACATAAACGTTAGACCAGATGTGCTCCACATAAATGTTAGACCAGGTGTGCTCCTCTTTACACACCTGGCCTTTAGATGATTGGGAAGGGCAGAAACTGGTGGGTGTGGAAGATGGATCTCAAACAGAACTGCAGTGAGACTTTTGAGTTTATATCCTTCCAATCAAAAGATGAACGTTGACTCAAAAATAAGCCCTCAAGCAGCATCTAACAGGATAAAGAATGCAGTAGTAATGAAGCAGTAAAACTAAACAACAAGTAAACATGCATCAATAAAGCTAAATTGTTCTGTGTTATTTTAGTTCATGGAACAGCCATTTGATTTGGGACAGGAATTCAACTGGAACGGTCAAGTGGGAGTTGTAGGAAAGTATCCATTTGGTCTTCCATGTAACATTAAAATAACAGGTAATTATGATCTTTGTATTTTTTGATATTTGTATCTTGGCTGGTGGCTTTTATGATTTAATTATTACTTATTTCACACCAAGAAAGTTAAAATTACTGTGCTTATATTGTGCCATAGCTATATTTCTGGATTTACATTATAGTAAAAATGTGGTTTGCTTTACTTCTAATTACAATTATAATAATGCAAGACATACCTAGAAAACTATCACAGCAACTAAGCTATCTGAAAGACCTCATAAGCAATGCATGAAATGGAAACCTCTTCCTCATTTCTGAGACCCAGCTGCTCTTGAGAAAGAGGAAGGGCTAGGATAGCTACTGGCAGCACCCAGAAACAGTACATGGTATGTAAGCAAACGGGAGAACATTTAATCTGACTTGCAGAGGAAGTTCAAGGAAACTGAATACAATTTGTCTGACTTCCATTTTGATAATTCTAGGTTGTCAGAAACGTGCCAGTTTCAGTGAGAACAAATTATTAAAAACAATTCTTATGCCTTAAATCATTAGCTTAGACATGTTCTGCTTTATGTAATGATTTTAATTTCTCTGAAATCAGACAGTTATTTCTGTTGGTGCATTTAGGATTAGAATTTGGTGCTAAGAATCTTAATGAATGACCAAAGACTGAGACTTTCTTTGAAACAAAAATACACTCTCACAACTTCTCACTCGAGGCACTTCCAAAAAAAAAAAAAAAAAAAAAAGTAAAGAAAGAAAGAAAAAGTTGGTTTCACAAATATCAAAGAATGCCTGTTCATTTTTTTAATTTGGAATGTTTTTCTATTAAATGTTTTTTACAGGTGATTGTCCACATAAAAAATGCTTTTGATCTTCATGTTCTCCAGCTCTCAGATAATAAGAGGGAAACCATCCAGATTTACATAAAAATGAGGGAATACATAAAATACAGACTTCCATAGTAAAGGCTTTCAGTTATAATGCAATGTTTTATCAACACAAAGTAATAGGCTGCTATAATTGATGTCTCAATTTCTGCAAAGGGAAATTTTTCCTCATTTTTCTCTCTCTCAGTCTGCAAAACCACCATTTAATGTTATGGGCCCTGTGGAAAACATGCTTATAGATCACTGTAGCTTTTAGTTTTGAGATTTGAAACCAGTGTACTGGAAAAAACATTTTTGATCTTGAATCCTAAGCAAGAGTTTGTGGTTAGGAAGTTCTGAACTCATGACACACATTTGCCATGGCTGCTCTTTGCAGATACTTGCATTCCTGTGGGTTTTGAGTTGTTTTCTTTTAAGAACATGAGATGGCCAAATGCTTCAGTGAGCAAGATCTTAAGATCTTATTTCAGAGTTTAGGCTTGTATTTACTATAACTTAATTGTGTGTTCATTTTCCTTCTTATTTAGTCCTAGCCTCCCTAAAGAAATTACCTGAAGGGATGGCCATTATTACAGTACTGTTTTCATGGTGTGAGGTACCCAAAAGGAAGTGTATAGAGATCAAACCTTACAGGCTGCTGTGTACTTACCACTTCATTTACAACTCTTAACTGGAGATGAATTTGACTTTGGTCACAGTGGAAGGAATGGAAAAGTACCTATAAATCTTCATTATGTAACTTCTAAATATCCAGAACTTTAAAACTAGTTTGATTTATTGATAGAGGATACGGTAATTTCAAAACAGAAAAAATACTTATTAGTGCTGCCAGGAACTACTTTATGACTTTATTTTAGATGAGTCTGGAAAGTTTTAAGGAAGTGAACAGAGAAGCTCAACTGGAGACTGAAAACTGGCAAGACTTGGGAAAGAACTTGCAAACAATAAAATAGGTGTTAAGCAACAAGAGTGAGTGACACACTGCAGGAAAGGGGGAGCTGAGGCAGCAGTCACATTATCACAATGGTTTAGGTGGCTGTGATCTTGCAAATCTTTGCCAAATGAACATAAAAAGAAAGGCATATTTTATCAGCAGCCTATACTGCTCAGGATTGATATACTATTTAATTTCACCATACATATACATATTTAATTGTATCATTTAGTCCATCTACCAGAATTTTTGAGGAACCTTGCTATATGTTTTATTTAAAAAGTTGATAGGGTTAAATGTTAACAAATTTTCTTGACTCATTTTTCATTTACTGACTGATTTTAATATCAGTAGGCCCTTTGCTTATGCTTCCATCTTCAACATTCTCTACATTTTCAGCAGATGTCTAAGTTTTTTATAACTTTGTTATATCTTGCACAGAATCTCCCGTTTCCTAAGTGTTAGTCCAAAAGACAGCTAGACAACTAGCCACTTTCCAGCTTAGGAGAGACTTCATTTCCATTGGCAGGGAACTAATTCCAGTCAGTCTATGTGCCAGAAACGTGAACAAAGGAAGAAGAGAGAAGCAAGAAGCACTCTGTAAGCACCAGTATCTCACGTCATGTGACATCTCAGAACCATTGGCTGGAACCTGGATAATTATCTAGACTAAGAAGGATAACAACAAGTCTAAATTTGGAACTGAAACGAAAACTAAAAAACATTAATTGCAAACATTTCCATATTTTTATTGATTTTTATGAACTCAGCTATAGATTGCATTCAGTGTGGTCCACACTATTTTGTTGTATTACACAAAAGGAGAAAGAATATTCTGATTTCATTTGAGACTGCTGCTTGCTGTTTCCAGCTATTTATGGCTATTTTTCCCAAGAGAATATTGACCCTTTTGATATGGTCTTTTGATCTGTTCATGTGTACATTCTTTCTCAATCAGATGAGCTGGATTAAATTTAATTATTTGCTGTGTCTTTGCTCATCCAGCTCATTTGGAGTGAAGTAAGTCAAAGGTACTAGAAGAGCAGTTGAGCATCAACCTCTGAGAAGGCAGTAACCCTCCCCAGGGAGCTGCAGATTTGTGCTTGGATGTTAGGTGAGGTAGCATAGCTGGTGATGGAAAAAGGTTCACAGCAGTGCATTTCCACCAGTCTTCAAAAGTTCTGAACTTTATTGGAATTAGAATTGTAAGGATCAATGGAATTATGACTGTTCTGCTACTAATGGTGTTAACATTACCGAATATTTGCAGATACCCCACCTTTGCTATTTGAAGCATCTTCTCTGGAGAATGCATTTCAAATTGGAGGTTACCCTTGGCATTATATCATCACACCTAACAAGAAAAAACATAAAGGAGTCTTCCATATTTGTTCTCTGAAAGACAATGCTTTGGTAATATATTCAGATAGCAGCTTCTCTGAAATTAATGTGTATCATGTTTGTCTTCATCTCTTATTCTGAGTAGCATTTGAGGTAATATTGCCCTTGTTTTCCAATGTGGTGCTTTTGCAGGGATCACCCCAGAGTATCAAATCAGCTATCCCATGGAGTCGTGTAAAATGTTTCCTTCTGAATTAATACTGCTTCTCCTATTTCCTTCATTCCAATATAATAGTGGCACTGTCAGGTCTAGACAGCACTGTATTCGTGACTTAAAACTTAAGTCTCATTACCTGATTCCTTGCATGGTAACATCTTAATGCACTTCTGACTAGTCAGCCTACCAAATGCTGACTAAAGAATTATTTTAAATTTTTAGAAATGGCAGAATAAGTTTCCTTAATGTTTGTAGTTTATTTTTGATTTTTGCTTTCTCTCTCTCCCTAGAAAGACTTCATTGCTCAGTATAATCCCTCTCTATTCCTAGAAAGGTTTTATTACTTAGTTTAATCTATTCCTAATTATTTTTATGTACTGTTCATCATATATTCTTTTGTGTGAGCTCTCCATCTCAGCTTTTATTTTCAACCTGGAGTTGACCTGAAGATCATTCTGTAATACAGGCAGCTTCTAGGCCTGTTCAGAGTTCTTGACTAAATAAGTCTCATCTGTAGATGTCCTTATCTGTTTTGCTAGCCTGATCAAATCAATGATTTCCCCTCCTATGTCTTACTGTCAAAACTGTTGTTTCACAATTGTAGCTGAAGATCAATTTTGATTGAAATGGACATGTACAATCCTTTCTTATCTGTTTTTTCTATATGGGTTCATGTATTTGAAAATGTGAATGATCAATGTCAGCTAAATTTAACACCAAAAAGCTACTACCAGAGTCCCAAGGTTTTGACCAGCTTGCATCTGATTGCTGAAACCACGAGCTGTCCCAGGCTTACATGCTCTACAAATAATTTCCAAAAAAGAGGCTAAGCCTGAGGTTTGACGCTCAAGTCAAACTTAGTGCTAATGTTTGTCTCATGTCTTGACACATCCCATGTCTTGGATACTCAGATTGCTGGAATTGTTGATGTGTTTGCAGAGTGCAGGCTAAATCTTTTGCTTAGTTTCAGGAGAGAAAAGACTATATATAGCTGAGGTCATTGCTTATTGCATATTAAAAATGTTGAAACTGTTCCATAGAATATCTTGAGAATTGGAACTGAATCTTTTTATTATTGTTGTTATTATTATTGTTCCACTGCCATCCTTTCTGGTCATGATTAGGAGCAATACTTAAAAACCTTCAGAGGTATGTAGTGAGGAGCTTAAGTATTTCCTCTTTAATTAGATCTGTGAGACTTTCAAAATACTAATATTCCTTTTCTTCTTCAGGCAAAAAATGGCATACAGGATATGAAATGCTGTTCACTTGAACCTGACTGGATATATTTCCATCCAGATATGTCAGGTAGAATAATCCACGTGGGACCAAATTTGATAAAGTATGAACCTCTTTTTTTTTCAAGTCCTATTTTCATCAGAGCAGAGATTGCAAAACTGCACAAATTCAGTAGTTTGACAGTTTGGAGGCCAAAACACACATCAAACTATAGAAACTGTAAAATTCATTAATTTGTCAGAACCAGAAGTTCTGGTAGAAACATCTACAGATTTCTATGTGATGAATGTGGGCACTGGAGGCCAGAGTCTAGATTTTTATATGAAAAATGTTCGAGGACGACTGTGTTAAAATTTCATTGATAAACATAAATTACAAAAATAATTAATTTCCATTTGACTTACGATGTTTTTATGTACAAGATTTTTTAAAAAAAGTGTTGCAGTAGGCAGATTAGAGTATGTGACTGACTTTGTAATTTCTGTTTCTTTTGTAGAGTCTTGAAGCTTAAGGAAGTTAAAAATCATCCAGATCAAATGGAGATTGCAGAAGATTTTACGATTGTAGCCAACAGAGAAAACTGTGTGAGTTTAGTGTCTGAGATCACAGTGTATGATTTTGAGCAATACACAGGGAGTTTGCATATATGAGTAATCACTGTGTTTTATGGGCTCTATTCAAGGTTTATTGAAAGACATTCTGTGTCTTCATCAGAGTTTAAAAGAATTTTTGAGAGCAGTAACATTTTCAGGATAGATTTCTGAAACCTCCAGTCTTTTCTTTAGATTTCAGCGTTCTTTATGGTGTGCAGTATCACATGTATCATGGATATAAAACATACTTAATAGATGGTGACAGATTTGCTTCAAATGAAGGTGCTACTAAGTGATAATTGTGTGCCTTTCTGGTGCTCAGGTAAGTTGATCATACAAATACTGGAAATGTTTCAAGTCCCTCATAACTTATGAGTAAGTCTTCATAAGACAACAAAGACAATATCTTGCTTCCAAAAGTCTGTTTCTTTTCCTGGCTGTGCACACCTGTGACAGGTTTGGCATTCATCTAACTCTTGGTGAGCCAAATCAGTGCACTAAAATAACAGAAAAGGTGAGTGCTTGTCTGCTTGCCTGGTTAGCTGAACTGGAGCAGAACAGAACTGAATCATCAGTGGATCAGAAGAGTGCGGAAATGTAGAATCAAGTGGTGAGGAGATGATCTAAACCTACTGGTAGGACTGAGCTCTTAAATCATCTCAATTGTTTTGTGAAGTCTTTTGCGATGTAAAATCACACAGACAATCTAACATCAAAAAGGTTAAAGAGCACACTCATGAAGAAAATTTTTTTATAATGGCTGGAACTGTCATTTTGCTTCAGCATGCAAGGTTATGTCTTGCCTACTATCAAGTTTTTAGTTTGAGTACTGTAAAATGCCTGGAAATTGCTCATACTAAAATTTTGAAGCTTTTGCAGAAGAAAGGTTTGCGTATTAAAAATCTACACAAACTCAGGAGTAAATATTCCATTGAATTCAGAAACTGAAATCCAGGTCATCTAGTATGGACTCGCCATACTGGTTTTCTAGGGTTTGTTTAGATAACTTCTGTTACAGTAAGAACAAAGAAATAAGAGTTTTAATCCTGTCTGTGCTGTGCCTATTCCTTTTGACTTCCATTGTGACACCGATAACCCAGTTTTGAATGTTTCTTGTGGTAATGAAGCCCAGTGGAAGCAGCCATGGTGATTTAAGATGCTACTTTTCCCATCTTCTGCAACTAAGAGTTTAAGAAGCAAGCTGATGGTGACTTAGCTGTGTCAATTCCCATTCCAGCATCTTGGTTCCAGACACTTCTGTTCTAAAACTTATGGTAGCTGAGAACCTTTGCCACCTCTACAGGACTGAGAACCTCTGCATATGAGTAAATATTAATAATACCTCAATTAAAGTTACCAAGTTCATGAACCTTCATAAAGAAGCCATAGCAGCCTAGGGCGATGCACAGATTATGAGTGAAACAAGGTCTGAGAGATTAAAACAAGCTCAGAAAGCAAAATATAGGAAATCGTCAAAAAGATGGAAACTGAAATGCTCTGAAGTCTAGAGACACTTCTTTGTGTTTCTCCAAAGGTGAACAACACTGTTACCGTAACAGCTTCTGGTCGAGTGGTGAAAAAGCGTTTTAACTTGCTGGATGATGACCCAGAACAAGAGGTAACTGATGCAGTGAGTAAGACCACTTCATGGATTATTTTAGGTGCTTAGCCAGCCAGAAGCCATTCTTGTTTCAGGTGCAGTGGGTATAACCATTATGTGTATCTTTGAGTTCTTTATTCTTCTTCTGTCTGTCTTTTTAACTTCTAATTGCTTCAAATACTCTCTGTCATCTTTTCTCCTTAGTTGACATTTGAGCTATGGATTTTTTTCTTTCTTGCAAGAACTGCTCTTATGCCCCACGATACCATCATAACTCCATTTAACTTCAGTGGCAAAGAAAGGAGATATTAATGTGACAAACCATTACTCTTTTCTCCATTCAAATATCTCCTTTAAATATTTCTTAAAAAACATTTTATAAAATGAAATAAATTTTTTTTTTTTCTCTGTTTAGTTTCCTCTTGTCTTTGATGTAGTATCTCTAAACTCCATTTTCCTCTCCCAGTTACTTTGATTAGATTGCAGGAAAAGGTATTTAACATTTTTCCTTTAAGTAACTGCTTCTTGAGAGTGAACACCACATGCCTTGGTGTTGAGTCTTCAAGAAGTTGTGAAAAGTATTTTTTTAGCTCTCTGTCTAGAGCAGGAGCTGTAATTGTCATAAGCACAACAGTTAAAATGCATCAGTTTCGGGCAGTCACTTCTTTTTTTCTGAGAAAATAGATTTTACTATGGTAAAACTACAGCACCGTGCAATATAACCCTTAGGGGTCTGCAGTTCATTTCTATCCACCTTTTCTTTTAACCATAATAAAAATAGTCTACACACTATTTTTTTTCCCTGCTGTTACACTTTACTTGGGATTCCAGTAGATGTTTTTATATTATGGAAGAAAAAGATTGGCTTGAATTTAAAGAGTATGTCACATTGAAATAAAGGCAATTAAGTTAGTTCACAATCTTTACATTTTGGTCTCAGTTGTTCACTGACACACTCTGTGGAGCAAAAGAGAGCTCTGAACAGGACATAGAAATATTCATGTGAATGGAATTACCCTAATATACTCATCCCCTAATATACTCAACCTTCAAGCCAGTGAAGGTTTTAAGTTACATTGTCTCTATCTACTATGTCTGCTTCAAGAACTTAAATATATTTCTTCTGCCACTTTAGAAGTACCTCTTTTCTATATCCTGTATGTTATATATAAAAATACATCTACTTGCACATTAGGATTTTTCAGAATATCACTTTCTTTTCTCCTGCTTAAGGAATTTCACTGAAATACACTGGACAACTCATGTTGGGTATCAGTGTCCCAAAGTTTTCTTTATCAGACCAGAAGACATAAGAACTAGAATTTTTCCAATTGTGCTTTCGCCAGAAAGAAAGAAGAGCTATCTAATTTACGTGGAGGGGAATGTGAATTTATGTTTTATTTCTAAACTTGAGGTTTTGTTTTTCCTAAGACATTCAAAATTGTGGACTATGAAGATGAATTGGATTTATTATCCACTGTGGCAGTTACTCAGATAGGAGCTGATGGAAGAGCTCACCTTGACTTTCACTGTAATGAACATGGGATTCTACTTAAGAGTATTCCATTCCGGGAGTCCTGGGATGTGGTGAGGAAAATTCCTGTCTTTTGTTCACACTGTCTCTTCCCCATGCTCATTTACCTGCCATTTTTGTTCAGATTTGAAGCAGATATATAAATAGTGTTGCCAAGGGATGAGATTTGTATAAAATAATAATTACAAATCAAATTCTAAAATTGTAAGTATTCCATTATTTGAAATTATTATTCTTTCCGTTTGTTGATTTGTTTGGGTTTTTTGGTTGGGGAAAGGGCTGTCCTTATGATTTTCTGAAGTATTTATCAACTTGAATACCCTATGACTAGTTTCATCAGATTAACTTTACAACTTGTAAAAAATGTCACTATCTTAACTTGAACTGCTCATACATAGAATTAAGATGGACCTCCCTGTGGGTGTATTTGGAGAGATGGAGTGGGCTGTTCATACAGTCCAAGTTTAGGTGGACATCCAGCTTAGGTGGTCTGAAATTTTCAGCACCTTTGCACCTCCTTTATCATTGACTGCATAGGCCACTTGGGATCTTAAATCAGATGCATCTAATTGCAGCCAGATAAAATAGCTATGTGAGAAACCTCTCAAAGTTTTAAAATTCTGTCCTTTATCTGGAAGAGCGATCTCTGTGTATCCACACAAATCCTGGAGGTCACCAATGTTAAATATTTTTTCTTCCTCGTGCAAAATGGTATGGATATTAACAAGTTGTGGAAATAGAGACTACAATCCAATTTTTTTTTTCTCATTTCAGACTTATAGTCATGAAGTTTACTTCGACAAAGACCTTGTACTACATATAGAACAGAAGCCTAACAGGAGATTCAGTTGTTATGTTTACCAAATGGTTTGTGATACCGCAAAAGATGATTAATGCTCAAGCCATGAAAAAACAGAAAGTGTTTTGTAAAAAAGGAGGGAGAACTTTTGAATATATTTAAACCATAAACAACAACTACAGAGACTTCAGTTTGGATGTTATTTAAGGACTCCATACATAGAACATAGTCAGCTACTGTTTTTCTGGCAGGATTTAATCTTAACATTTTGTACTACTACAAGAGGTTTTGAGTTTTTTTTTCTTTGTAACACTGTACACTTGCCTGTAGTCCATAATGGCTCTTCATGTATTCACCAATTCATCATTAATTCTAGATGCAGCATTTATTGCTTCTCTTCAGCAATAGGATTGAAATACTGGACATCAAGGAGAAAGATGTGGATTTACTGATTATCTGCCATCTGCTGTGATCTGTCTTATATAGTTTTACCTATGCAACTCTAATATAGACTGTCAAACAAAGTATGTAAAACTGTCTAGGATAAATTTTATATGTAGCATGACAATTGCAGTGTTACTATTAAACCACTTAGACAAAATCCTTCTCTTGCTTTTCTGTGAGAAATAAAATCACGCAGGTTTTCTGGTTGTGTATGTATTGGTTTAAAGATAAATATTAATAAATTATGTATTTTACTGTCTTTTTAATTTATATTTTTACACATACATATAGATATAGCGGTTCTCTGGTTCTTTCTGTGCCAAGGGTCAGGAGTGTGAGCCAAAGCTCCCAGCTGCTCACCCTGATCCCTACCTGGTATCTGGGAGTGCCGTGTGGTATATTCAGAATCTGCAGAATGCAAGCTTTCATTTTAAATTAAAAAGCACCTACAACAAAACCCAGGCTGGAGACTTCATGGTGATAAAGAGTGTTTCCAAATGTAAGCCAAAGATGGGCTCAGGCGCGTTGCTCTTGGAGGGAAGGACCAACATTAACCAATCTACCAACTACCATCACCATCATCATGAGCATGGTAATTCTAAATGCAAATAT